CCGGTTAAGTAGGATTTAAACCAACATAATACAGGTTGCGAGATGCTTAAACATTTGAGTTTAGTGAGAAACAGAGCAGTGGTTGTACTATAGCCAGCTCTGATTCCGGTTTGATGCGGTGATAACAAATTATTAGAAGTTAAGAACTCAGTGAGTTGGAAATAAACGATGTTTTCTTATAGCTATCGATAGCGCACACAGTACACCCAAGGGGCGGAATTGCTTGACCTCCCAAGCACCGCTCACTCTGGGACGAGGTTCAACGGCAGCAATTTTCCACAGCTCAGGAAATACAGCATGTTGAAGTGAGTAACTGAAGGGGGGGGGGGGAGTGGAAGAGAGAGAAAGAGAGGGAAACGGAGCGAGAAGTGCTGAGAGTGAGAGAGATGGAGCACACTGCAGGACAGCGGCGCGCCGCGCAGCTGCGGGCGCGCACGAAGGAGAAGAGGAGAGAGAGATAGAAAGTCTGAGCAAGAGAGAGAGAATGGAGAGGGGGACCGCCAAATGCAGAAGCGGTACGCGGACATGGTGTTGGAGAGAGTGTCCACTGGAGTGTATGAGTGCTACCCGCCGGACGCACTACCCCCCCCCCCCTCCTCCTTTCGCCTTCTTTCTCGTTTTCTGCCGCCAGACGGGGTTTGATTGGAAATTTCCGCGGACGTTTGGCGTTGGCGGCGTAGCTCGAATACAGACGTACTTACAAGTTATTGCTTAATTCGAGATCGAACGGTTGTCACGCTACGGCGCTTCGCTGCTTAGAGTCACACCACACAGCGCACCCGCTGGTCCGAGAAATTTTCCACGGGTGTAAACAATATTTATATATTTTTACGAGTTGTTGGCTAAGGCGGCTACGTCACCCTGACGCCACGAGCCGCCCGCTGCGGCGGACCGCGGGAGGTCCTCAACTTGACGCAGATGGACTCACCTTGCGAACGGGCCCAGGAGGCGTGCTGGCAGCATGTCCATGGGCACTGTGAGCAGGGTGTGGACCAGGGCAGGAGCCTGCGCGGCCTTCCCCCAGCTCAGCGGGGCGCGAGGACGTCCAGGGGCTGGGTGGAGGACCTCGCCATCCTGGTGGCCTCCGCCCTCGCCGCCGTCACCCTCCCCGTCATTGCCGCCGGAGACTTCCTGTAGGGCAGCAGGGAGGCCGTGAAAAGATCGTCTCGGTCGAAAGGAAACTCCTGGCACTCCTGGGCAAGAGTTCCGAGCTGCGTGACCGCCGCGCACTCGCGGCAGAGGGCAACCAATCGCGCCAGCGGGCAGGATGAGTTGCCTAACCTCCCGGCGCCATTGTCAGCTGGTCACCACCGCGCTGCCCCGGCTGGCCCCAGCCTCCCACATCACGCCGGGCACCAGCAAAGAGTTTCAATGAAATGGAAAAGGCCGTTGACTTTTCCGCCATCAAACATAAATAATTGAAGTGAAGCCAAACATCACGTATTATCATCAAATGATGGCAGAGTTTATGTTCCCCCGATCAGCGGCTCTCTTTTGAAAGGATTTAGCCAAGTGTGGAGTGACTTACCTCAGCATTTTGGCATGTTTTGTGAGCGTAATCAATGTACTAACATTTTCCTAACACGTGGGTACGAAATCTCGAAAAGGGTCGGTAATTTTCAAGGAAAATAAGAGGAAATGATCAAGGTCAATCGTCTGCAAGTCGCCATTCGAAAACAAACACGACGCCTTGTATGGAAAAGGATAACATGTTTTCTATTTTCTCTGTGAAAACGGTCAAAACTTATTTCTTGATTATTGTAAGATATTGCTAAAAGGTGACTTTATGGTTCTTTTAGGTACGGTTTAAATACGGTACTTTTAGTAGTTAAAATAAACGTTAATTTTATCCTCACGGCACGGCCTTATAGAGAGTTTTATCGTCATCGTCTGCTCAATCATGTGTTGATGTTTTTAGGTTCTTAGTTAAAATTTAAGTTAGATCAACCTACGGTCTCGTTAACAGTATGTCTTTGTTTAAAAATGGATTGCGTTCTATTTTTTCTCCACTTTTACTCAGGACACCCAATCCTGCAGTACAGGTAAATTCCCTTGATATCGAGTTTGCCTGACTATTAACCTCGACGATTTGACAAGGAACATGTTAAATTTCTTATTATAACAATCTTTAATTCTAGACTCAACAAGTGCGTACTAAATTCGTAAACAGGCACCAAAAGAATGATCAGAAGAGGCGAGTAGTGGTGAAAAATTTTGGCAAAGAGCGCTTGCTACTCAATACTGTCTATCGCTGTACAGTTCTTCCACCAGAAGTTCGGGTGAGGAACCGTGAAACATTCTGTTTAAACACTCTTCAATTTAAGTTGATTAAAGCACTTTTTTGTGTGTCTATTTATTACAGAATGTTGCCCATGAAGAGGTGTGTGCTCTTCCCAGAGATTCTAACTACATTCGTACTGTGAAGAGGTGCTATGTAACTTCACGACCTAAAGGAATGGTTCATGAATTTCGAGTTAGCAGGATCATATTTAGAATGTTAGCAGACTACAACAAGTTGTCTGGCATGATGAGAGCAAAATGGGGTTGCAATTAAAATTGATATTCTTTATGTAGTAAATAAATTTCATTTTCATAATCTAGCTTTATTTTAGCAATGAGTCTTGCCAAGCACTCTGTTAGTCCTAAAATCTACTTGAATTTAATTTTCCTCATCAGCTCATCACTTCAAAAATGAATTTTAACTCATTGAGTCACATTGCCACACGTATGGATAGTGAAAAATAAACGACTCCCAGGGTCTCATGTTGAAAGTTTGCATCCGGGTTGATTCGAAATCACAGCTATTTAAGTCCACTAAGAAGTCTTTTTCCATTTGTTCCTGCACACCAGAGGTCAGCTACATCCCAGTTCATAAAGAGCACAGGTGACAGCAAATTTAACATAAACTAGTTTTAGATTTGGGCACCACTTAAAATTTGATGCATAGTCAGTTGATAAACTTCATATCTTATTTAGGAATACAAGTTTTTGAATCAATGAGGAAGTGTAGGGTAAAATCATTAAGTGGTATGGGTTTTCACATAATTTTATTTGTACAATAAAACTGTACAGAAAGGAAGTCAGGAATGGAGTTAGTCAAAGAGACCTGTAACAGAAGAAAAACGCAGTTAGCAAATTTTCACAACTACAGACAAGGAACTTCTGTTGAGAGTACAGTGTGTTGTGGACCTTTCTACAGCAGATGTACAAGGACTAAATGCCGTCTATCAGGAACACATTAATTTCCCATGGCATTCCCCCGGGATTGACATTGACTGACAATGCCGGCTGATAGCACATGGACCAAAGATCATTAACCACAATTGTTGTGAACCATTCTACAGTAAGGGTACTAAAACCAATGCCGTCTATCAGGAAGACATTAATTTCCCACGGCATTCCCCCGGGATTGACATTGACTGACAATGCCGGCTGATAGCACATGGACCAGATCAATAATCATAATTGTTGTGAACCATTCTACAGTAAGGGTACTAAAACCGATGCCGTCTATCAGGAAGACATTAATTTCCCACGGCATTCCCCCGGAATTGACATCAATTGACAATTCCGGCTGATAGCACATGGACAAATTGAGATTCTGAAAGCAATGAGACTTGAATGTACCCAGCTTTCCTTTGTCATGCGAAGAAGGCTTCACCGACATACACATTTGCCAGAAATGATGTGCCCACCCTTAGCACACCGCCTCAAAACATGACATTGAGCACAGCCGGCTTAAGAGGATGGGGTACAAAAGGACCAGAAGAAAAACCCTTTCAGATTTAAATGTGCCCAGCTTTCCTTTGTCATGTGAGGAGAGCCTCACCGGCATACACATTTGCCGGAAATGATGTGCCCACCCTTAGCACACCGCCTCAACACTTGACATTGAGCACAGCCGGCTTAATAGAATGGGGTCAGAAATGGAAAATTATATATACTTAAATGTGCCTGGCTTTCCTTTGTCATGTGAAGAGGGCCTCACCGACATACACATTTGCCAGATATATTGTGCCCACCCTTAGCACACCGCCTTGACAATACATATCAAGTGCGGTCGGCTTAATAGAGTGGGGTTCAGACACGTAGAGCAAGATACCTACCGAAGCCCATGTCATCGTCAGTCTCAGGGTCGCTCTCAACCTTCTTCTTCTCCTCTTTCTTTTCCTCCTTGGCGGCACCGCCGGCGGCAGCAGCGGCAGGGGCAGCACCAGCCGCGGGGGCGGCTCCAACACCAGAACCCACGTTGGTGATGAGGTCCTTGATGCTCACACCCTCCAGAGCCTTGGCGAAGAGACCTGGCCAGTAGGGGTCAACCTCAACGGAGGCAGCCTTCAGGATGGTCTGGATCTTCTCACCCTGAAACAAAAATGAGCAACATTAGTGTGACAGAACCACTGGGCAAATTAGACCAATATAAAAATTGGAAAATTAGTGCACAGGGAAGATCTAAGCCTACAATGGCACAGTGCCAGTAGTTTAAGTCTGTACAGACACTAGGGATACTGTTGCACTAAATGGGAGACGTAAACATCGGAAACGTGGCGTGGTGCAATCTTAGCCGATAACCAAGAAATTAACTAGGCAAGCTTGGGTATAATACCTACTACCCCGCCAAACAATACATGGACATTATAGACACAGACAACGCGCGGCAAAAGAGATAAATAGGTAAACTACCTACAGGTTCCTAAAAATTATATACCTGGATTCGGAATCAAAAACCAACGCGAGCTAAGAGGGAATAAAAGGTTACAACCGGGAAGAACTCAAGAGAAAAAAGTTAATACATGAAAACGTGCGCAGCATGATGCCAAGACGTACACGTACACCGGACAGGTTAGGCCGTACTTACAGTGACTGCAACATCGTCATCAGCGAGGATGAGTGCGGAATAAACGCACGCCAGTTCGGAGTCGGTGGCCATTGTGGGTATTTGGGTGTAAACTAGGGTGGATGCCTAATACAAAATGTGCAAGTCGCCGATACGGCCTTAGCTCCGAAGAGAACAAGCACGCGCAACTGATCCTGAACGGAAAAGAGACCGGAGTGGATGTGGAAGAAGCCGGTGACGGGGAGGTGAGGTGCGAGGGAACGGCCCTCTTTCCGGTGGTCGCGATCGGTCACTTCTTATTCACTAGGGTCCGCTCTGGAAAGCCGTGAGGGCGTGAGGGGTGAGGGCGGCAAAATGTAAACAAGTTGTGGTAAACAAATTATAACCTGCTAAAGGCCGCTGAATCAGTGATGAAATGAGTGATGATACTTCCAGTTTTTCAGTTTTGCCATGGACGACACATGCGCCCCATCAAGATTTTGTACCCGAATGTTCTCGTATTTTTGTCAAGGAAACTTACAGTTTATTCATCTGTTGGCGAGATACCAAGGCTTTAATTTTTGTTCTTCAATCCAAAATTGAAAATCTGTCATCACAAATACCAATTTACAATCAGGTTTGCTATTTCTCAGACAACTTTGTTGATTTGTTACTTTTAAAGTCTTAACTGCCTTTGTACATTTTTCCCGTACAGGCCATTGCATCTAGAGTACAAATTCTAGACGTAATTGAAGTAAACAGTAGCATCTTAATTGTCAGTCACACAGGTCTTTTCCAAGCAATACACTCTGAAGGCAAGCGTTCTTGGGAAGTGTAAGTATGGTCGGCCTTGGGTAACTTGAAACTGGAAATGTTAAAGCTGTAATGCCAATTCTTTTAATTGCAGATTGGACTCTCTTGGAGACTGTAAAAAGTTGTTGTTGACTGATGCCTTTGAGCTGTCACATCTGAAGAAAATTTTATCAGTGACCACAATTCCAGATATTGGTTGTGCTTCTCTCTCTAGCTACTTTGCTGCAATAACTTACTCCTCAGATAGCTGTAAAATTGATGCAGAACTCTATTCAGTTTCGCATGTACCGTCATTTAAATGTCAACTACATGCAGTAATTTGCATTAGTAACAATGTACCTGAAATAAGAGAGTGTTTCTCTACTTTTCTCACCCGTGACCAATCTGCTGCTATTTTTTGTGACTTGCCGGATGCAGAAATTTTACTCATTGGTCTGGATATTGGTCAATTGTTTTGCTTGCCATGTTATCTCTCTGGAAAAAATTATAGGATCAAGCCAAGTCCAAAATTAATATATCAATCAAAATGGCCTATTGTTGGACTTGCTTGTCCTGCAGGTACAAAGTCTGATTGAAACATGCCTTTTTTATATCAATCCTGGTCGTTTGTAAAATTTACTGACCACCTCGTTTTTACAGATGGTTTTAATATCTATTTATATTTGAAAAGTGGAACTGTGGTTAATATTTCACCACTTGATAAACAGTCTGGAAAACTGGATCATTCGTCCTTATCTTACACCTCCTTTTCTTTGCCATACCCAGTCAAGGTCTTTGGGGCTCCTAAGTTAGACGTTTTCTTTGTTTCTGATGCTATTAACACCAGCATGGTTCATATAATTTCCCCCAACCAAGTGGATATTCAAACAATACCTGTAAAAGGTACATTGATAAATATTTCATGAAAGCATTGTAAAGTGACAGCATATGCTGTGTTGTTTTATGTGCTTCTAATTTGTTTACATTTTTGTCTAGGGGTCACAGCTCTAACTGCGGTTCCAAATACAAGTTTGGTATTAGCTTCTACTTTTCATAATTCATATTATTTATTGGACCCATTTAACTCAGTGAAAAAATCAAAGGGCATCTCTCAATCATGGGCAGGTAATCTTTGTTCTTGAACGAAAGAGTTATAACTCTTTCGTTCAGTTCAATCTTTGTTGCTGACTAACCGATATTAAAAGGATATTTGCAATACAAAGCTGTGACCGTGATTATTTTCAGGATGTAATCTTGATGTTTCACTTCAACTTGTTGAAGATATGAAAGTTCAGATCCAGATGCTCTCACAAATAAAAAAGGAACTTCAAGATGAGTATCACATTATCAATGGTAAGACGCCTTTTAGTTACATGTGAAGATCATGGGATTTTTTAAATTTAAATTGTATCTTTAAACTTTCCTGTTTTTGTTTTATACTTGGTCTCTAGCATTATCTACTGTTGCACGCGCTCATCTTTTGGCTGATCAGTTTTCAATCAGTGCCAAGGTGTTAAGAACTTTTACTGAACAAGACAGTAAAAGCAAAGACACAGAAATAAGGTTTAAGTGTCCTGTGTATCAAATTTCAATAGAAATCAGGAATAATTCACCTGAGGAGTTTGCCCCATTTCTTTGGGTAGTTAGTATTGATGTTCAAAACCCAGATGGTCAAACATTTTCAAAGAATATTCCACTGACTAGGACATTCGGTAAAAACCTTCCATTTACTGCACTTTTAGATATTCCCTACATATATGGAAAGTTATGTTTTCCAGTCTTCATCAGAACCAGTCTTGTAGGGAAAATTGAAGATAAGAATTGTGAAAACCAGTGGTTAAAAGTGCGCCTTGGTGGGACCACTTTAGATGTCTCCCACTTCTTCACAGTATCAATGCAAGCACCTCAGCAGTGCTCCAGACCTGCATTGGATGTACTGGAATTTTCAGATCAATTCCAACTTCAGGATAGTACACCATCAGAGGCAAAAAAAGACCTGAAGAGAAAGGCAATGATGACTTCTTACACAATACCAGTTCTAGAGGAATATCGCCAACCCCAATTTATTTTTGAAAAACTTCTATCTAACTGTCACCACAGTCAAAAGTTATTGATTGAAAAAGACTTTTATAGTAAGTTCTATGATGGCAACACCTGAATACTTGAATCATGTACTACCTTCTACATTTGCATTTCATCATGGTTTCAGATCAAAGTGATAAAACTGTGATATGGTTGTATATTCTCCATGAAACAGTTCAATTATTGTTTCGAAAATCATGTACATCAGTTACAATCAGTTGCTGTAATTTAGAACTGTTGCATTCAGTCAAACTAAGTTTATCCACAATGCTTAGTGGTGATGGTTCCAGGTCCGTAGTACACCATACCACACTTGGTGCTTCCGCTGATACTGCTCATTGCAAAGCCAAGGTGAGTAGTGGCTTCACTTTTCTTCAAACTGTTGTCACACTTGCACTAATTACCAGAATGTTCTGTTTTTAGAATTTAAATGCAGTTTTGGAAATATTATCTCTTGAAGAGGCCAAGGATATAAAGCAGCTCCTAGAAATATACCAGGATCTTCGTAATAACGTCTCATCCCAAATATAGTTAGATGGGGACAATTGATTGTTATTGTTGATTGATTGGAATAAAAATGAACTTGTTGAAAAACATCAAAATTAGACATTAAAAATCAAACTCTTCCAAAAAACAATATAATTTGTGGTTTATTGACGATTATCAGCCAACAAAACATAGTCTCATTTTTAATAATTTCAGTAGCACAGATAAGAAAAATTGACCTCACAAGCAATGAGATACATATTTATAAGTTCCAAGAAAGCAATGCAGCTCCTTGCTATGGTCAAGAAAATTACACCGGAGTTAGATAGATAATTTTTGATTTCTTTAAACCTCCTGATGAAAGAGTAGTACAGTATTAACAACCTCATCAAGCATATAGGTAAAATCATGTAGTGAGAGCTTTGGCATAGCTATCCATCGACAGCACAAACACACAGTATGAAGCGAATGATGATAAGCAACATGGAATAAAAGTTACCAACCAATATAAAAAAATCTCATTTGTCTATAAATAGGCGTAGTATAACACGAAAAAAAAATGCACATACTGTAAAGGCACTAATTAAAAGACAAGACAACAGTAACATAAAACTTTCAAAAGTACATAAATTAACCATCACTGACAATTGAATTTCCAAGCAGTGCTGGCAGTAATAAATGTTTCATTATAAGTTACGATAACAGTCCTTGAGGGGTAATTACCATAAAGATCACTATGCATCGAGATTTTCTAGTCACAGCCAGTTCCCACAGGTTTTATGTCTTGAAACTCATTGTAAATGACTTGCAAAAAACTTATTAGGAAGTATAGCTTGAAGACAAGTACATTGTCCAAAGAAGAGCTTGACTGAAATTTTCACCAAAACTGCTCAAAAACACAATAATAAAGTAACAAACCACAATTGTCTCAGTGATCACGTCCAAATTCAATTGTTTCTCTTCTGAGCTATTGTACAAGTAATTTTCTAAGCTCACTTTTTGACAAGATGATACTGTGATCAACTTGGAAAGACTCATTAAATTAGGAACAAGTTTAGGAAATCCCACAATTTGTTAGCAATTTGAATTTTTCAGTCAAGAGTTTCCAGCTCTAGTCTAAATTAGTTTCCTCTTGAGAGTTTAAAAAATCATTTTTAGATAGTTTTTGATGATTAGCAAATGTAATTGATTTATTAAATGTAATGAGAAACACACAGTTATGACAATTATGCTAATAGATTGATTGGCAAAAATAGAAGCCATTCTCTGTAAGTACATGAGCTGTAAGACCTGCATGCTTTACCTTTTGGAGTAGAGAAATCAAATTTTTGTGCATGCACAAACAAAAAAAGACAGCTGATGTAAATTTTAAAAATTAGCTGGACAGTACTTGAAACTTATATAGTTTTATGTAATTAAGCTTCAATTGAAAAAGTAAAGTTTTTAAGTACTCTGAACCTACATAAATTTCAATAAAATACAGCATTAAAAACCATCACAATTTTTTAAGAGCAGAAATCACATACTGACTGTCCACAGAACATGAATTAGACCTGCTCTAAGAACACCAGTCTGTGACACCTCCTCTATGACATACCCATATCATCAACCACTCCCTAAGAATATTTTAATGACTGGAATGTTAAATGGAAAATGTTTGAGCTTGACATGGATTGAAATGGCACAAACAGATAAAAAATACTCAAGTATAGGCTGCCATTTATATGGCCTCATATGCTGATTCCACTGGAGATGAAGCAGCACCATTTAAAAACTCTTCTAGCTCATCTCTGCTTCGTTCCTCTGAGTGCAATTTTTTACTTGACTTTCTCTTTTTTTCTTTATCTTTTTCCTTCTCCTTGGATTTTTTCTTATGCTTCTTTCCACTCCCCTTCTCCTCAACCTATGATGAAATAATAAAATGAATATATAAGTATAGTATAGTGAGAAGAAAACATTTGATGCACACTGCTAAAATACATTTTGTCTACCTTATCCACTTCTTTGTCCTTCTTGATCTTCTTCTTTTTCTCAGCAGTGAGTGGAACATCTTTTTCATCGTTTGTCAGTCCATCTTCCACCTCCCTTGACCCACGAGAGGCTCCTGAATCTCGGGAGGCATTATCCTCCCCACCTTCTGGGCTCCTCCTCCATTTACTATCTGAACTCAACCATGCATCAAGTGCATCTCCTGTTATATTTGAGACTTCTCCATCAAGCGATCCTCTGTTTGTTACAAAAAAGAAAAAAGACAATTGAAGAAAAGGAACCACTTATTTCAGGAACAGATCATACTAACCAGACCTTCAACTTACTCATCCTGAACTGACTTTTTGTCAGTGCTTGATGAAGTTGACAGTTTTCTCTCAGGTAATGGTGATGGCAACTTTGGTGTGCTTGGTGTCACATCAGGTGCAGATATTTCGTCACCATGATCATTTTCAGTTTCCACATCTGCAATTATCACACCTTGCAATGGTTGAGTAAGGTCTTCATCTGAATCAATGTCATCTTGGAAACCAGCAACCAAAGGATTTCCATCAGCTTCCGCATCACTGTTTGGTTCAAAGGGGGAACTGTATCTATCAGATATTTTATAATTCGAACAGTAAGAATGGCACTTTAGTGAGATATTTACCTGTCTGAGTCAACAGACTGTTGGGCTTGCGGGCTATTAGCTTGTGGAGTTGAATCTTCCAAAAATGAGCGATCTAATACACCTTCATCCGGCACAAACTCCTCCACACTAATCACATTACCCACAGAGCCTCTTTGTACCACTTCAAAAGATAAATCGGACTGTTTTTCTGATTAAAAGAATACAGTGCAATTATTAATCAAAATATTTTTTGGATAATGTTTTGAAATACTGACACTGATAAGAAGAAAGAAAAAGAGCAACAAACTATACCATTTTCTGTTGGCTCCTTCTTTCCAAATATTTTGGATATGAGCCCAGTCTGCTTCTTTCCAGATTCAGCAGAACCATCTGTTGAGTCAACTCCAGCACGTTTCTCTGGTACTGATGATGTATTAAGTGATGTAGGTGTTGATGTCGAGTGATCAGAATTTCGAGAGGGTCCTGCAACAATAGGTTGACCTCCACCAATGGGTTGTCCACCTCCAATAGGGTGCCCTCCTCCAATAGGGTGACCTCCTCCAATAGGACCCACTGGGACAGAGGAGCTCCGTCGCATGTTGGATTCATTTCCCAGGTTGCCTGGAGCCTGATGACAGATAGAAGACAAAGGCCGAAAGGTTTCAACATAGTTTTAAAATGGGCACTGAACAGTCTAGATCCTATTTGGTTTTAGTGACTGACCGGCAGCTGATTAGTGGATGAATGGGCTAAGCCAGGAGGGGCATGACCTAGGCCCGTAAAAGACTGAGCTTGTGTCCCAGCCCCAGCAGAAGATGAAGACTCGGCCAGTTGACGCCGTTTGTTCACAAGGTTCTCAAGAAATCTATATCAAGAAATAAATTAATCAATAGTCTTGATAACACTACAGATCTGTGATGTGAAATGAGAGAGATCACTCACTGGTTGTAGTCAGCATCAGGTCCAGCCTGGAATGCATCAAGTTCTGTTGCAGTAGCTGTTGTTTCATTGGCATTAGTCTCCAGCTGAGCAAGAAGTGTTTCACGTTGCAGTTGGAGAAAAGGTAAGTTCAGAAACTTGTGCAAGTACTTCAGTCCAAAACCATTCCTCATTGATGACTCAGCATACCGAATTTGAGCACAACCATCAGGCCTGGGGAAAAATTAATAATAAAAACTAAATAACAGTACAAATTTTCAAGATTAAAATTGATGACAGATAATAAAACAAACGAACCTCTGCTGACTTTCAATGTAATAAGTAATGTGATCTGGTGTAATAACACGGTGATGAGACATGTCACAATGATTGGCTAGAACAAGGACAGGGATGTGGGCAGGCACTTTTGGTAGTTCCCTCTGAACATATTCAAACGTCCTACAAAAACGAGATAGATAGATATAAATTAATGAGGAGAGAGACCTTACTGTCACAGAGAATAAAATATTGTGAAACACTCACCAATTCTTGGTGATATCCAAAACCATGATGACACCATTGGTACCTTTATACACATCTAAGAATTCCGCATCTAGAACTGGTTCCTCTGGAAGGTCAATGGCAGGGCCGGCATTTTCAAGCTTTAAACCATCAATCCGCTTTTTCTTTTTCCCTCGGTCAACAACATCCCAAACTTCAACTTTGACAACGTCGTCAGTGGCCTTATAGCTCCACTGAATACTTGCAACCTAAAATGTAATAAAATATGAGCTTCACAAGTGAAACAAAAGTTCTAGACTGATAGTTGAGAAAATAAAATCAAAAATATTCATTTCCTGAGAAGACTAATTATACCTGTATTTCTTCAGAGGGATTGTACTCCTCAATGAACTTCTCTCCTTTTAAACGGTGGAACAGGGCAGTTTTACCGACATTTCTGTCACCTTTAATGATTATTTTCACTGCAAAACACAAGGAAACGCTTTTCAATCGTAAAAGGACCCAGACTTTATACAAGAGAAAGCAGCAAAATAGAAGACATACTGTTGTACTGTACGCCACGTGCAAACTTGCGTTGCAAATTATGTGCCATTGATTGAAGGCCTGGGCGAGGAGCAGCAGGTAATACTCCGGTGATCGGGGTTTCCCCCTTCCCCGTCATTCTCTTGAGGGCGGCAAACATTGTAAATTTGGTCGGGGAGTACTCCTTCAGAACTGACAGAATTATAACAACTATTAGTAAAAGCTCACAAGCAAGAAATTAGTATTTTAGGAAAAATTAAAGAAACAAGACAAACATAACAGATAACATTTATTTATTTTTAATTTTTTTTAATATACCTGATAATGACTGCTATCTATGTAGTTTTCTTGAAGAGTTATTAGTAAACTTAACCTATACAAAAGAGTGTACCCGACATGGTATCGAAATAGCGTGATTCCGACACCCAGCTGACCAGTAACCAGCTAATGGTGACAAAATTTCGGTATTGACAAAGTAGAGTTGCCTTTACCCTCTCATTTTCGCAAATTAAGATCCATTATTCCTTGGAGAAAACAGTGACAGCTGGGCTGCCACAGAATCTACAGCCCTATCGGCAGCAATCGAAACTAACGGGAAAATAAGCGTCAAGGAAGACAACACAACATCAAATATTAATTAAGAAAAACCTTCCTTGACCACTAAAACAAACTCCGATAAGATAAATAAAAGATTCTTATGTATATTTTTTCTTTTTTCGTCTAATTTTATGAAGGGACCAGAAATATTCTCGGATTTTATTTGAAGATGTCGTCTAGCTTCATTGGTCATCCTGATTGCGACAGACGATTTACCATCTGCAGCTGTCTGCAGCCTCCTGCAGCTGTGTCCTCTCAACAAACATGAACCGGTGTTATTTTCACATTCTTTGACATCTAATGCTACAGAATATTGACATCTGCATACATAGGCATTTTCCATCGATTCGCAATGATCCACAGGTCATGTATGTTACTTTTCAGAAGAATTCATCCGCGACTGAACGGTTTGTTTACAGAAATTCATTTGGTTATGTCCTTCACAGTTTCAGTTTATTTTCATTAATTAATTTCACCAGTCGGTAAAAAGCAATACCTTTATCTAATTTTATCTACGGTACTATAATATGTTACTTATTTCCTCTAAGCGTATTCCAAAAAGTTTACATTTGTTTGCATTTTACATGGCTTTTTTCCGTCTGCCCTTCAGTGAAACTAACAGTAAAAATTACTCATTGTTTCTATGGAGTGCTATTTAATTTACAAATCCATTTCTTTCTAGTGGGCTCCCTAATTCATGCTAGATCATGCTCTGCCAAAGCAACAGCTCAACAACAGATAGGACAGGTGTCAAGAGATCAGCGCCTCTTGGGGCAGCCCACACCCAAAAGTCACCCTCACGTCATGAAGGATGGAGAAGTAAACATGAGTTTTACTGTTCTCTGTTTTATATTGATTTATTTATTTATTTGTTTGTAATCTTACACTTCTATTTTAGTTAATGCCTGGGATAAATATCAGTGAATTTAGAGAAAGACGTTCATCCTTTGCATCAATACTTCGACACCAGGCATCCCAATATTTCAAAGATGCAGAAAATCATCTTGTTGTCATACCTGCAGCTCCACAAGCCTACATGTCTCAGAAAGTACCCTATGTTTATCGTCAAAACTCAGATTTTCTGTATCTTTCTGGATGCTTGGAAACAGACAGTGTTTTAGTTATGGTCATACCCCAGAAATCATCTGATCATAGAACTATTTTGTTTATGAGAGAACGAAATGCACACTCAGAATTGTGGGATGGGCCACGAACAGGTAATTTATTTGAAGCTGATTGTTCGGTAAGGAAAGTAAGACATTAGCTAAAGGTACATATTTGATTTTAGGAGTGCATGAAGCACCAAAACTTTTTGAAGTTGATGAAGCCTTGCCAATTGAACAGTTTAATCAATACTTGGCATCACATGCCAAAAGCACCCCAGGTTTCATGCTATGGTATGATTTTCGTCAGCCAATTGACCTGAAAGTACACCAAATCCTTAGTTCGTTTGTGTCAGATGTTGCACATTCAGTTGCCAAGGTAATATTTATAGCATTAAGTCATGCTTAAAAACTCAACCTTCAAATATAGTCTCAAAAACATATTTTTTGATTCAACCGTTACAGATGTGGATGTCACCAAGAAAACTTATCCATGAATTAAGAGTTATAAAGTCTCCAGCTGAACAAGTTTTGATGCGTAAATCATGCCAAATTGCATCAAAGGCCATTGAAACAACCATAGCTACTTCACACCCTGGCATCTCTGAACACGAACTTTTTGCAACAGTGGATTTTCATAGTCGAATGAATGGTGCTGAGTATCTAGCTTATCTCCCAGTAGTTGCTGGTGGAGAAAGGGCCAATATTATACACTATATTAACAATTCACAGATAGTTAATGATGGAGAGTTAGTTTTGATGGATGCAGGTACAACATTGAAAATTTGGCTACAACCCTTGTATTTTTTTTTAAATGAACATTTGTTTGACGGTTTTATTTGTTTGCTTCAGGCTGTGAATACCATAGTTATTCAAGTGACATCACTCGTACTTGGCCAGTTTCGGGACAATTTTCATCAAAGCAACGTGAGGTGTATGAAGCATTACTTTCAGTTCAGATGGAATTAATCTCAATTTTGTCCAAACATCCATCTTTGGATTCATTATTTTCTACCATGTGTCAGTTGTTAGCAGTTCGATTAAGGGAAATTGGTTTAATCTCAAGTAAGATTACATCCAAACAAGATCTATCCCAGGTATGTGTGGTCTTGTATCCTCTATTATTTTGCTTTTCTACATGATTTAATTAATAAACCGAATTTGACTCCAGGCAGCATATTCATTCTGTCCACATCATGTCAGTCACTACTTAGGAATGGATGTCCATGACACAGAACTTGTTGAGCGGAAAATTCCAGTTATACCTGGTATGGTTGTAACTGTTGAACCAGGTATGCATTGTTTCCTAAAATGTAAAATATACTTTCGTGATTTTTGGCTTATATACTTTTCTACTTGGTTTTAGGAATTTACATCAAGAAAGACAATATGAAAGTGGATCCTGAGCTTCGTGGCATGGGAATTAGAATAGAAGATGATATTTTAATTACAGAGAAAGGTATTGAAAATCTAACTGCCATGTGTGCCAAGCATCCAGATGAAATAGAGAAATTGTTCAAACAGAAGTCCTCAAGAAAAGTTGTGTAGATGTACTGAACAATATGCGTTTTGTAAATACAGTGTCTAAGTTTGTTATTTCATTATTATTTGCATTCAGTAGGCCAACAAACAAATCATGTACCTGATACTGAAAATGAGCAGGGTTGAGACTGAATTGAAAACGAATTAAGAACAATGAAGTGTTTTTTAATAGAGCTTATAATTTAAACAAGTGGCGTGTAGCAATCGAATTAAAATATTTTTGCAGGTACAAAGTTAAATTTCATTTTCCAAGTATTTCATAAAAGAACTGATAAATCTGAGTTACATTAAGAATGTTGTGAAATATGATAATGGTGTGGGGTTCCATGTGGATGAACTTTACTTCTTACAGAACCAAGTCACGCATCTTCTTGTCGGCTACTTTCAGAGACACAAAGTTGTTAAGTTGCTTCACCCGAAGACGAGACCAGATGACAATGTCATGGAGAGCATGAATTTGTGCAGCTGCAAGGGCTGCAGCTTCAGGGTATACAACTGTGGTACATCCAAGACCTGGAAGAACTCAAGGGGTAAGTAACTGACAACAGATAAATATGAAAATAGTTAACGAATCTATTTTACCTGATGGAACGTTGAGGGATGACCAAACATCTTGGGTGACATTATCAGACCTGACAGGAGGGCAGTTGATGACTGGATAAGTTGTGTTGCCTGACAACACTGGTCCTAGCCCGTTGCTTCGTCCAGCAACAGCAATGAAGACAACTTTAACTCCAGAGCCTGAAACAAATCGGACAAGCAATTAAAGTTTGCTTCTTACCAGTCAGAAAAAAATCTATTGGAATAACATACCTTCATAATCAGCAACAATGCGGAGTGTTTCTTCTGTTCCCTTGTGAGCTGACGAAACTCTTAGTTGGCAAGGTACACCAAGATCTTTGCAGCACTTTGCAATCTTCTTGCAGTGTTCATCATCTGAAGGGGAGCCCATGAGAACAACAACCTGGAGATAAAATTAATGAATTATTAAGGAACTTTACATTAATTACATTAATTTAATTAAAGTTTCTGAAATGCTTACTAAGCAATTAGGTGTCGGGGCAAGGTGTTCCAACTGTTCAGCCACCCATTCAAAATTACGCTTGACAGTGTCCAAATCAGCCTGAGTGACGGTAGAAAGGTTGCGATAAACCTGCTTGTCCTTCATCAGGCGCTTGTCTCCAGATGGCCAAAGTCGCCATGAATCACTGTCAATGATGTCAGAAACCAAAATTTCTCCTGCAAAATTTAAATTGAAGAACGACTTAAGTTGAAAAGAGAACAATCAAACCAGAGCTCTGCAATTTCAACAGACCGAGCCACGGTCGGTACCGACCGGCTGCAAGGTGAGAGGTGAGGAGGGGCAATAGCCAGGAAGCTCCTCTCCTCACCTCTCACCGTGCAGCCGGTCGGTACCGACCGCGGCCCGGTCGGCTCGGTCGGTCGAAGATGCGATTTTGCAAAGCTCTGAATCAAACCAAAGACAAAATACATACCATTAGAATCAACTCCAAATTCAATCTTCATGTCAATAAGCGCACAGCCTCTGGCAGCCCAGGCTTTCTCCAAGACCTCGAAAACAACCAAAGTCATTCTTCGCATAATGTCAACTTCATCTTGGCCGATGAGACGCCCATTAAGCTTGAATTTGGCTGCAATAATCTGAGCTTCAGACCATTGAGGATCATGATTAGCATCATCCTGTAACAAGAGAGATTTTAAAATAGGATTTGCTACCAGCTGCCTTTGCTGATAACAACACAAACACGAACTCTGACCTCAAGAGATCAGACTGACTACGTCATCATGTTACACAGCAACAAGTTTCATAACTGTATGAGTAAAGGGGAAGGCCACATCTAATCTATTTCATCAGCCCTTGGAAATAAATATTTGCTGATTTGTCAAAGAAGTTTTAAAATTGACTGATACAGTTATTTGTTACATCACTCATTTGATCATTTTCTCTCAAATTTAGGGACATGATGATGCAATTCTATTTATGTGCCAGAGTGTTATCATCTGTGCATTTCTAATTTTAAGTCATTGCAAAAATAATTACCTTGAAAAAGGTTTCTTGGCAAGGAGGGTTGAAACGATATCCTTCTTCTACACCAGGGTGCCTTTTCAGGAATGATCCTGTGGCCAACCTTCGGGTAACCCACTCAATAGGTACCATATCACACTTACGGCCAACGAAGGCAGTTTCTCCTGCCACCTTCACAAAGGCAGTCTTCAGGCCTGAAGCAAAAACCAGCATTGTTAACTTGACATACTGAAGAAAGGTATTACGTAATTAAATCAAATACTAACCCGCTGCATTCAGGATTTCAAAAACCTTAGCATTGGTGCGATTTGAAATGGCAGCTTTGCCAGCAAGGTCATGTGCCTTCACACCATCTCCAGCTGTAATCCTGTCCTTGCTTTGAAGGAATGCAAGGCCAGGTTGGTCGGGGAGATCATACACTCTCTTGGTCTTTCCCTCGATAATAAGGGCTCCAAGTTTGTAGCCTTCCACTGGAGAGCAATGAAAAAGACGATTAATTCTAGTTCTTCCTGTTTAGGTTTACATGTTTACATCATTATAAATTGTATATGCAAATTTTAAATTGTATGCAAATTTTTAGCAGTTGGCAGGAAACGATTCTCCTCTCATCACTCATGACTGCACTTAATTTCCATCTAGTCTGAAGGCCGATAAACAGCACCATTTGATAGGTGATCAGGGCGCCCTTGGGATCGTCGGCTCAAGCCCCGATCAACAGGTGACGCCAGACCACACGACCTCCATGGCGCCAAACCGCGGCCGGGAGCGGCACGCCTAGCGGCACGCGTAGCGCGTAGGTTATACCGAGCATTATGTAAGAGTAAAAAGCGCAAGGAAGAATGCGGATAGAACGCAGGGACTAAATATAGAAGACACTCGCCTGTTGTGCCCGACATGTTGTCTGGAGACGTCCGCCTGGGAGAGTGTGCGAGGGTGGCCCGTTTGCCGGCGACTGGCTCGTCCAGGCTGCACGCAGCTGACTTGTTGTGCTCCAAGCGGTCCCCTCAGCTGCTGGCTGGCTGCGTCCGAGGGCGCCTCTTGTCTCTGTCGCTCGCAGGGCCGGGCCCGAGGCGCGCTCCTGAAGCCTTTCCCGGACGCAGCCGCCCGCGGCCCTCAGCCAATCGCAGCCGAGATTGCGGCAACCTCCTGCCACCTCCACCACCACGACGACGACGGCAACCCCTTGACGCGCACCGCCCCACCTCCCACGCCTCATCCCGGATCGGGTCCCCGTCGAGGCGTCGAGGCCCTAAGGATCCCGGGGGAGGCGGGGCAGAGGAGGACGAGGCCAAGGAGGCCACGCTCACAGGGTCAAAGGCCATCGCCGACAAACCCCACGCAGGCGCGAGCGCGGGCGCTACGCGGGCGCGGCGGCCGAGGATGGCCTCTCCGAGCGCGGCGGCGCTCAGTTCCCCTCCGGCCGAGCTTGGACATTATCGGCGTGCGTTGTAGTGTCGGCGGTGACCAGTGTGACCACCAGGGTGACCACCCAGGACCCAGGCTCAGCGAACATCGGGTTGAATCGGATCCGACGTAGACTCGCAAGGTTGTGCGCGCGACGAGGACAAGAATATCAGAGGTAAGTACGATATGCTCAAGACGTGCTCGAACGAACCGCGAGGGGTGTGAGTGGCCGTGGCACGTGGACGGGGCCGTGAGAGTGGGACCAACTCCACTAGGGAGAAGTATCGGGCCTGGACCAAAGCGTTTCTGTACATGCGTCCCAATAGTGTTGATGCGGGTATGCCATACGGCAACTGGAGCGCACATTCGAAGAAGCAACCGGTAAAGCAGTGTCTTTGTCGACACGCTACCTGGAAGTACCTAGCCGCAGCAGGGCGTTAGGTTTCGACAGCAAGCAGCGGAGCGCCTGCCCGGGGAAGCCCTCCATCAGGTTGGCACGGTCCACAACGTCGTGCACAGGGATAGTCGTCGCTCTGCCCGCTTCAACGTTGTGCCGGACATCCGATCGCGACCACGGAGGTACCAACCCCAGCGAGTCGGATAATAGCCGAGGGAGTGCGGGGAGTCGTGCCATGCACGCAGTTTGCCCCTCTTGGGTGTGTGCGCAAACATGTTCTGGTACCTGGACGTGGAGGTGTCGGATAAATAAGGGCTCAGAATTAGTTTTGAAGATAGTTGTGCTCCATGGCGCTCGGGGTCGGACGGGTCAAGAACCTCTCGGTCCCTTCCCTGGACATTTCCACCCTTCCCTCCGTGCGAACGGGAGCGGCGGGGGGACGCACAAACCTCGCCGTTCTTATCTGCTTGCGTCTTTGATAAGATGAAAGGGGGGGAAGGGAGGCGCAGGAAGGGTTCTTTGCGCAGAGCAAGGGGTGAAAATAGCGCACGGGCGTGTATACTCCGGGTTCAGCAAAACAAGGGCTTGTTTGCGGATGAGTGTGGCGAGTACTCATTTTGGCGCAGGCGGCGGGCGCGGCGTGGCTCTGCAGGCCCGGGCCGGAGCCCCTGTGTTGCTGGGGGTAGGCCGCGCGCCCGACACGGCTGTGGGCGGGTTGCCTACCCCTCCCCTCTCGCCAGCGGGGCGGATCCGCACCCCTATCGCTCCCCTTGTCAGAGACACCACTCTCGTCGGTTACGCTGCCTTAAACTCAGCTTCATTAAACCTCAGCATCGTCAAAACATTCCCAACGACTAAGTGTCTACAAAAAAACAGAGCGATGCGAAAAATTTTCCCGGCGGAGGAGCAGGCAGCGGTATACATGGCAAGCTGATGCAACAACGTTGCCTTGAAAGGAAAAGGAGAAAAAAATAAAACCCCAGGGGCAGCCTATATCGTGTCGAAACAGAAAAGGCGCGCGTTCTCTGTCGGGTGTAGTTTCCACTGGCAGTGATAGTGTCTGGTAGTTCTAATTAACGCGTAAGACACGCATGGCACGTCGGCCTGTCACATGATAAGCCAGCGCCCTGTCAAGGCGTTTCGCAAATTTAGTATGAGGCCACATCAAGGCAAGCGAATGGGGAGTCTATCAGAAACTTTCAATGGGGGGAGAGTATAGATTTCAGAGCGGTCTGATTATGTACAACTATGCGCGCTGCTGGTGACGCAGACCCCCCGCAACGAAACGAGTACCCCCTGCACGTACTACAATGTCGCTATACTCCGTGGGGCTGTACTAAAGACGTTTTCTCAGAGACCCAATATTTTCATTATTAAAACAAAAAAAATAGTTGAACTGTAGACGCGGACACCTGTGTCCTTGTTTCGGATCTCGCGCCGCGCCGTCGTCGTCGGCTGAACCGCGAGGCAGCATCAGATCAAATGAGGGCGGGTGTGCTGCACAGGTCGGAGGTCGGGGAACGTATCGGCGCTCATCGAACAAGTAGCCTACTATCGGAGCGAGGCTGGGCGCCGAGCCCTCCGCCCGCACGGTAGGGGGCGATCTTATTACCACGTGACCTAATGGAGGGGAGTGGAAATATTCTGGGGTCCCAAAAGTATCAGGTCTATCAGTCCATAGCGACCCCGTGATATATGTACCCCGGGGTACAAATATCATTGGGTATCTCTGGACTCTAATGATGGTCCTGATACCTGCCCATAATATTTGCACCCCCTCCCCTTCAAGTGACGTAGCCCACGCATTTCTCGGCGTTCGGCCAGATCTCTGCCCGTTGGGCGATAGGGAAAGGGCTCCCTTTGTGGGTCAGCCGCGCGGTCCATGACAATGTTTTCCCCACACGGGTGGTAAATAATATAGTTACGCCATAACGCCCTCGCAAGCGAGCGGCCGATAAAACGGAATAACAAAAAGAAAAACTGTGACAATACTCGCAGCTAAAGGAAAATAAAACAAAAACAAAGGGGGAAAACAACATCGCGCGCTCTCTGTCGAGTTGATTTTTAAAATGTGTACATAACGGGTGATGCCCACGTCCAGAAAATTGCCGCAATCGACTGTTGTTGGTCATCAGCTTGTTGGGGGCACCACGCCCCGCCCCGCCCGCCGGCGATAAGCTGAGAGCCGCAACGGGGTCTGCGACAACCTCCCTCAGCGCAGCACCCGCCTGCCCCGCCCCGCCCCGCCCGGGGCGCGCCCGCTCAGGCGACTGCCTCTGCATGCAACCTATGACACCACCACCACCCCGCCCCCTGAAGTAATTAAGTACTTGTTTGTGGCGTGGCGCCAAAGCGGGGGTTATTTTTCCGTGAAAGGAATCGGTGACCCCGGCAACTGAGCCCGCCCCTCGCCCTCTGCCGACCGGGGGGAGGGGGGGGGGGCACTTGTGACCATCAGCATATGTTCCCCGGGAAGCACCCTCCCCGAGGCGGAGGATTCGGAGATGATTCGCGAATGGCATTTTCGACGTGGCCATCGATGTTCCCGCCTTATTTGTGCGATTGTGATGATGATGACCCATTTCAGGAGATGGCAGCGACCGGGGCCGCGGCCAGGGAGGACGTCGAGGACGTCCTGGAAGGCGTCGCCGAGGACCAGACTCCAGACTCCGGCCAGGTAGTGGCGGCGGCGGCGGCGGCCGGGCGCGGCCAGGTGCTGACCGGCCTGACGCACGAGTGCGGTGTCTTCGGCTGCATCGCCACGGGACCCTGGCCTACCCAGATCGACGTCGCGCAGGTCGTATGCCTCGGCCTCGTGGCGCTCCAACACAGGTATGCAGCTTCGAAACACTGACACCTTGGTGTTTGTAACGTGATAGTCATGAACGTCGTGTTGCTTATGTTTTCAGGGGGCAGGAAAGTGCTGGCATAGTGACAAGCCAGGGGAATAGCACAAAGCACTTCAATGTCCACAAGGGCATGGGGATGATCTCAAATGTGTTCAATGACGACGCCATGAAAAAGCTCAAAGGTGAGGTGCTTTTGGTCTTCCCTTCTCTCTATTATCAAAATTAAGTGACCAAAGATAGGGACCATTCAAAATGTTGCTGGAGATACTGGGCGCTGTTCCCTTCTTTCGTCAGCAGAACAACCATAGTCACCGACACATTTTCTCTACTTACTAACCCCAACATCTGTGGAATGCTTAATGCAGGTAATCTTGGTATCGGCCACACACGGTATTCAACATCAGCTGCATCAGAGGAAGTCAACTGCCAACCTTTTGTTGTTCACACTGCCCATGGAGCATTGGCTGTTGCTCACAATGGAGAGCTTGTAAATTGTGAAAAGCTGCGTCGTAAGGTGAGTAAAAATCAGGAGAAATTCCAAAAATCTAGATTTAAATTGCATCCGTTTTCACCACAACCTTTTTTTCAGGTATTAAGTCGAGGAGTGGGACTTTCAACTCATTCTGATAGTGAACTTATTACCCAGGCACTTTGCCTAAGTCCTCCTGAAGGGGAAGGGGACACCCCAGACTGGCCTGCTCGCATCAAACATTTAATGTCTCTTACTCCACTCTCGTATTCTCTTGTGATCATGGAAAAGGACAGAATTTTTGGTGTTCGAGATCCATATGGAAATCGCCCATTGTGTTTAGGAAAAATTGTTCCAGTAGTGAAGAGTAAAGATGGCAAGTCAACTTATAATATTAATGAAGCACAATAATCTTGTTTAGGTTTACAGGATTTTAACTATAGTAATTTTTTATTTTTTTTCACAGATGACAATGAACAAGAGCCAGAGGGATGGGTCATATCATCTGAATCTTGTGGATTTTTATCAATTGGTGCACGATATGTTCGAGAGGTTCTGCCTGGTGAGATTGTAGAGTTGACTCGAAAAGGAGTCAAAACAATAACAATTGTGGAGAGACCTGACAACAAACCACAAGCATTTTGCATTTTTGAATACGTCTATTTTGCTCGTTCTGATAGTATTTTTGAAGGTAGGAAATCAAAAGTCACTACCTGAGTTTCAATAATAAAGAAAGGATTGAGATCTATTGACATTTTAACAGGGCAAATGGTGTATTCTGTACGCATGCAATGTGGAAGAATGCTAGCAAGGGAGTCCATAATAGATGCAGACATTGTGAGTTCTGTACCAGAATCTGGAACTGCAGCTGCTCATGGTTTTGCAAGAGAGGTAATTAACACCCTGGAACTTAATTCATTTCAGACTGATTTTCCAAATAATTTACTCAATGATGAAAGGTATTATATGGTATATGTTATCTTCTTACTTTTCAGTCTGGAATACAGTTTGCTGAAGTTCTCTGCAAAAATCGTTACGTCGGTCGTACTTTTATCCAACCCAACACAAGGCTGCGTCAACTAGGTGTAGCCAAAAAATTTGGAGCCATTTCAGAAAATGTTACAGGAAAAAAAATAATATTGATAGATGACTCAATAGTCAGAGGAAACACAATTGGACCAATTATTAAATTACTGCGAGATGCTGGGGCCAAGGAAGTTCACATCAGAGTTGCCTCCCCCCCACTAAAGTATCCATGCTATATGGGAATAAACATACCAACAAGAGAAGAACTAATAGGAAATAAACTTGACCCTGTTAAACTAGCTAAATATGTTGGTTAGTATACATCTGTATTACTTTCTATCTTATTTACACTCTGCCCACTTTGTATAAATAAATTGCACTACTTCTTTATTACAGGGGCAAATAGCTTGGCCTATTTATCTATTGATGGACTTGTGAGTGCCGTTCGACATGGTATAAAAATAAAGGATGAGAGTCAAATTGGTCATTGTGCAGCTTGTCTCACAGGGGAATACCCTGAGAGTATTGACTGGTAGAGTACAATCAAGACTATTTACAACTAATGTAAATATGTAAGATACGTGTAGAAAAGCAATTTGCAATCACTTAATAAGAAATATAAGTATTTTCCCTAAAATATGTAACTGTGTAAAAACAACAAAAACCTACGATATTATAGCAAATTTGTCTAAATTCATAGTTTACAAGACTCTTTGTTTTCGGATAGAATTTAATTGACAAGCCTGGATTGACTGATGTGGTATAGGGAATTCTCATTTCGTTGTAAAGAATAATAATATTTCCAAAAGAGGAGTTTAGGCCAATCATAGCTAACTCGATCTTTCATTAATCCATCAATCAATTGTAATAAAGATATTTATAAGAAACAAGACCAAGAAATTAATTTTCCCAAATCCAACTTATTTTTTAAAAAAAACAACAGGAAAACCTTAAAAAAAGAGGAAAACATTTTCTAGAGAAGATTTGGCAATGCTGGAATTTGGAATACAATCTACTTCTACTTACTTCCTTCTATCATTGATGATCAAAGGCAAATGTAACAGTTGAAAATAATTGCTGCTTCAAGGAGGAACTTCAACAATTGCCATAGGAACCATAGCTGCACCCTTCACAAAGCAAAAAAAAAAAAAAAAAAAAAAAGTGATGTCAGAAAGCATTCAGGGTAAAGAAAATAATTTGAATTTGACTTCTCCCAGCTACTTACATCTTCATCTTGTTCTTTTGGTTTGACAAAGATACGGGACATGACCAACGATTTTTGAGTTTTGCTGTGGTAGTTTAATGTTGAAGGAGGGTTTTTAGTGAATACTGGATCACCAGATGATGCACTGGGATTTTCTTCAAAGAATACAGCGGTTCCAATAGTGTCACTCCAATTCCCTTGAAAGACCTTCAGGAGACAGAAGTATAACACATAAATATTCTAGGTCACAATACGAAGAATCACCTCCAGAGCTGACTGTCAATCATACCTGATTTCCAAGCTGAAGAACAGGTTTATCTGAATCAATGCCAATAATTTTAAATGGAGTATGAGATTGTAAAAGATCACTATCTAATTTAGTATCAAACTGCATGTAAACTAGTATCTCCTCCTCTTCAATATTCTCGTCAACCTCATCTTCATCTTCATCTTCTTCATCTGAATGGCTAGCATCAGTAGAAGGACTTGCCTCAGACTGAGAGGCATAATTGAAGAATGACCTAAGAGCTGAATTAAGTGCAGGGGTTGGCAAAGATGTTTGGGTAATTAGCTGTTTAGATCCTCCAGGATTGTTTTGAGACATGAAATGAGAAGGTACTGATGGTTTATCTAAGGAACTAGCAGAAGTTGGTGCAAGACGATCCACTGCCGATGCTTTTGCAAAAGATGCAATCTTCACAGTAGGATTTTTTTTTGGTGAGGCTGCAGTCTTTGTACTTCTAGGTGTGGAGCGACCCATAATTTGTACTTTAGAGGAAGAGAATGTCTGCTTTGAAGATGGTTTAGAAGAACTGGGTACAGATAGTGGAGTTTTAAAATGTGCTGTCGATCCCATTGTTTTCTTCTCCGTAATTCTTGTGCTTTGGCTGTCTTTTGGTTCATTGTGAGGTTGGTCGTTAGTTGAAAGACGATTTGCAGGCAAGGAAAATGGACTGTCCGCTACAAATGATGTTGATGGCTCACAGTAGTTAGGTTCAGGAGAAACATGTCCTGATATCTCCATTTTATCAGGATTTGAATGCACATGATCATCATCAAGTGATAAATTAAAAGATTCCATGGAAGACGCAGCAGACAACTGTAACATATTTTTTGAATCGTTGAAATTGTTAGAACTAGTTTGTTGTAGTTGTTGTTGTTGTATTTTTTGGGTTGATGAATATACTCACATGAGCAAACACAGATTTTCTGACAGGCTCCACCGATGTTTGAAGTAAAATTTAGTTGCAAGGAATAAGATGAAGTTGAAGTGTCAATATCATTAGTATTGACATACCAAACTGTCAGTCATTTGGGTATTCTCTTTTCCGGCAAATTGGAAGACTAACCTCCACTGCACCTAGAATGAAGTTGAAAATTCACCTCTTTAGAGAGACAAACAGACGAAGCGTGACGTCAAATAAGATCAGATTCAACAGAATTCCCTAAAAGAAATCATGTAGATTTAAGACAACGTTTTAAAAGGGCAAGAATTCATTACCTGTGTACCTTTGTTTACAAAAATGATCTTTGACACTATAGTTTACAGGCCTTCTAACATTCGAGAGCCTTGATCAAGTTCAAGTCAAGATTCCTCTTTTTCTCTTTATTTTTCTTTCGGGTCGGGTCGGTCGGTCAGATAAGGTTAGGGGGTTACGGTGGTGAGGGACAAATATTTGTTTGTATCGGCAGGAAATCGTTTCATTCAAAATTTGAAGTTTTACAGCATGTCATAAAACCGCTGATGGTCCCACATCCAAAAAACAATGGGAACTGTTCAGGCCAAGGTAACGTAAAATTTCATCATTAATCGTTATCGGTCGTTCCTCAGGATCACTTTTTAGACTTAAATCCTTTACTTTCACTGTCATTCCCTTGTCAAACGTTTATTTGGGACATCTCTGTAAGTAGATTCCTTTTACATCTATCACAAACCGTCCGCTTTGAAAGTTTTCATGTGAGATCAAGTGGGTTTGACTAAGATTGTGACTTAAAAATAGTTCTTTTTTTTCAAGTGTAGCTATTTCATGACTCAAAATTTTACAGCCAGCAACTGTACAGGTCACTCAATTTCAGCTTTGTTCATTTCCTTACCATTATTTTTAATAAAATCACAAAGGTGATTTATTTCATAGCGGGAACTATTTCTGCGTTCACATGGGTATTGCATATCTCATTTTTGTAATTTCATCAAATCACTTTGGGCAATTTAATATCTGCAATATGATTTCAATTTATTTATCGTGTTCATAATTTGCTTTTTACTGTCTAGGAAGCTCCAAGAAATCCCATAGACATTAGTGGATTAAACAATCGGAGATCTGAGAATTCTCCCAAAGCTGATAGTAAAAAAAATGCACCATCCAACAAGCAGGTACTTACTTAACTTTTGATCCTATGTGTGAATGCATTAAGCCCTCATTAAAGAAAACCTAATAGTAGTTTTGTTACCTTTTAGGCGCAACCTACATACCCTGCAGCAAAATTTAAAACTGTCAGGGTAACTGATACAAGAACCTAAGCATTCTAATGTTAATTATTGTTCCTTGACTTGCTGGCTAATTGTTTTCAATTTTTTAGGCACGTGTTGATAAGGTTAATATTGAGGGACTAAGTCGAACAAAGGATGACATCATCATAGAGAGTATACAGCCCCTGTTCTCTGCTGGTGATTTTGTTGAAGTAAGATGACTCCTCCAAACTTTCATATTAATAAATCTTCTTCACCTGTAAAACTTTTGTAGCTCTTAGCCAAATACCTCTTTCAGAAAATCTTATGAGCTTTTAATTTCAGGTACTTAAGCAGGCACATGAAATTCGAGAAAGATTAGTAGGCTTAGGGTGCTTCAATAATGTCCGGATCTATATTGATACCAGTTCAGGGAAAGCTGCAACCCCAGATGGTCTTGAGGTAGAATTCCTATATAAGACCAACCCACAAACATGAAAGCTAAAAATAAAATGAATTAAATTGTTATCTTTTATGAATTTTAAACTGTTTAATTTTGCAGGTAACTTTCCATGTGAGTGAGATGAGAAGATTAACAGGTGCCATTAATACATTATTTGGTAGCAATAATGAAGGGTCGGTTGCATTAAGTATGCGTCTTCCTAACTTGATGGGAAGAGGTGAACGTATTCAGGCCGAGTGTAGCTATGGCAATCGCCGAACTTCTAACTACAATTTTGGCTTTGTGAAACCATTGAGAGGTCGTTCTAATGCCTTGTGAGTGGTCATATTTAATTATGATTCAACTTGTTGTTTGTGGTCTACTTTACCAGTCTGATTTGATTTCAGCTTCACCACTTCAGTTTTTCAACATTTTACCGAACAACCTGCATCAGGATACAAGGAAATTGATCGTGGTCTTCTTTTTGATCTTGCTTTCACCTCAGCACCCTTGGTATTATAATTTTCTGAGAATTTCATCTCAACTAAATATCAACTTAATTTCACGCAAATCTTGATGGATCTTATCATTTTTTCTTTTTCTTTTCCTTTGAGGTCCGTCATAATTTGCAATGGGAGACAACATGGAGAGATCTATCCGTCCTAAACCGAACAACAGCTTTCGAAATTCGAGAAATGTCTGGTCCAAGTTTAAAGGGATCACTTCGCCACATACTTTCAGTTGATCGAAGAGATCAAGCAATCTTTCCCCGCAGTGGTACGCTATGGCGTATTACAACAGAATATGCTGGCATTGGAGGCAATGTAAACTTTTTGAAGAATGAAGCACAGTTTCAAGCCAACATTCCATTATCGAACGATGTGGTATAAAGTTTACTTTTATTAAAAAAATTATTGTTTCATAATTTATTTTTATTTATTTTATTAATTCTGTCAATTTAATTTTCTAAATAGTTAAGAAAAGATCAAATATCTTAAAATTTAACATGAACACCGTTTACATTATTGTTTCAATTTCAGGTATTTCAAGCAACCCTTCATGGTGGCATGTTGAAATCTATTGGAAACACCAAACCTCCTAGCTTATGTGACCACTTCTTTTTAGGTGGTCCTCTATCACTACGCGGGTTTGAATCCAGAGGCGTAGGCCCGCAAGCAGGGCGCAATGCTCTTGGGGCATCAGTAAGAGATCAAACTTAAATGTTTTTTTAATTTACTTTTGGATCTTTCTTGAGGGTTTATGTTTTCCTGGACATTGCTTCCTATTACAGACATACTGGGCAGGAGGCCTCCACTTGTATTCGCCTTTGCCTTTCATAAAGCCTGGTGGCTTTGCGGACTTGTTCCGAGCCCATCTGTTCCTGAATGCTGGCAATATTGGGAACTTTGAATTTAGTACGTATCACTTTGCAGTATTATTTTTTTTTTTTTTTTCAAATGCTGGTCTACTGGAGTGTCTTTCAAACTCCTTTCTTTTTCTGCACAGCTGATGACTATAATCATAATTTGGAGGTGCTGGGGCAGAACATGCGACTTGCATATGGTCTTGGTATTGCCATGAAATTAGGTGATATAGCCAGAGTAGAGTTGAATTACTGTTTACCACACATGTATCAACGCACAGATGCCATCAACAAAGGGTTGCAGTTTGGAATAGGATTTGATTTTCTGTGATACAATGTTTCATACTAGGTACATTGTATTCTCCTAGTCAATTGTTTGGCAATGCTTGTGCTGCAGTGTGCTGGCTGTTAATAAACAGTTCCTGGTTTCCTACCACATTTAGAAATTTAAATACTGTATTTATTCAATTCCAAACCACACCCTATTTCCGATTTGGAAACCTGAAAGATGGGGTGTGGCTTTGAACTGCCTGTTTAGTAATGGTTTTGACTTAGCCTTCCCTTAGACACCCCCTGTAAAGTTTGGGGATGCGGCTTACAATTGAGTAATTTGGTAAATCATCCTGTCAATGAAGTTGATGGGTTTTGAGTGATTATTATTTCCCTCAGATTTATGGTGACTCAAACTGAATGCGAGGGAAATTCTGTTTAAAACTGAAGTGCTGTAAAATAATTAAAATTTGTTTGAACTACAATTTGACATTTTACTATCTAGTGGAATAGGAGTAAACTCACACAAAAGAAAGAAGTCTTGCACTTTTTTTTTTTTTTTTAATCATAAGTTCAAAGTTTTTGATTTTCACACCTAGTTGTATTAATTGTACAGGTCAAGGTCAAAAGCTGGCTCTTTTTTTACTCAGGCTTACAGAATATGTATGTTGACATCACTGGTTGGGCATAGTTTCCCATTGGCAGCACATTGGTGAAACACAAATTAGTTGTGGCAACATAAGAGAATGTAACAAAAACTTTGAAAATGAAGATCTACTTTCATTTCAAGAGAGTTGAACTTATAATTAACCTTAACTGAAAAACACACTCAAAACAGATTTGAGCAGTTGGCAGAGCAAGACTTACTATACACTTAAATACAAAATACATTACATATTAAATTATGTACAAAAGAGAAGTCACAGTACAATTATATTTACAAAAGGAACAAAAGGAAGTAACTCACCATGCCTCCCCATACATTTAACCATAGCAGTTTTAGGGAGGTGTGATAAGTATTTTGTGTAACAGCTAAAAATTTATAAACAAGAGAAATAGAAATCTAGTGGGAAAAGAACTAGAAATAAGACATTTTTCCTATTATTACAAATGGCTTTAATCTGAAAACCAAAATGGTCTGTTAATATGAGTCATTCACGGAGTAAAAATAAAGAAATAAAAAGCTATAATTTCAAAAAGGCTTGCAAGTGTTGATGTTTTCATCAGTCTCAAAATAAGTAAATAGGAGAAGAGCAACACAAGAAATGAAGGAAGTCATAGCATAGCCTTAATGTTTTAAGTATCACTTTTCCACAACTTGATTGTTTTATCGCTCTCAAGAGCTGCTGATGCAATTATGTTCTCAGTTGGATGACAAGTCGTACACAATACAGTATCTGCAAGAAGAGATAAATTTATAGAACCCCATGGAGGACAATTGACAACTATTAAGGATATAATTAAGGTGCCTCACCTGTATGACCCTGGAGTTTCTGAACAACTTCTTTTGTTTGAAGATTCCAAATGTATACCATATTATCTTCAGAGCCAGATACAATCCACTGAGTAACAAAAAGATAAATCTTATTAAATAGGAACTTCCACAGATGCTACATAAGTTACGAATAATATGTGTACAAACCTTTCCTCCTGTGACTGAGAAATTAGCAAATATACAGTACTTTTCATTGCGATGTCCAGTGTAAGTTTTCAGACACTTTCCTTTTGAATAATCCCAAAGCTTAAGAGTATTATCAAGTGTTGCAGCCAGAATATATTTTCCATTAGGAGAAAATTTAACAAATGAGACTGGTGGATTGTCATCATCTATCAAAGTTTTCAAGCATTGGCCAGAAGCTGTATCCCATATTCGACTGTAAAGTAGAGTAATATTTAGAGAAGAACATAATATTTTGAATGGAACTAGACAACAAGGCAGTTGAAAGGTTCAACCCTCACCAAAGGCCGTCATAACTGCTGGAGACAATAAGTGATCCATCCCTATTGAAATGAACAGCACTAACAGGATCAGAATGTGCCGGCAGAGTCTTTAAGCACTTTCCAGTTCTTACATCCCATATTCGAACACTTTCATCAAACTGAAGATACAAAATTAAATGATAGATTATTTAATTCCACAAAGGATACATAACATCTAAATAACAACTTACCGATCCAGAGACTATAAGATTGGATTGAGGATTGAAATTGCAGCAGAAAACATAATTACTATGACCTTTTAGTGTTTTTAAACATTTTCCCTGCAAAAGACAGTTTTCTTAAGTGGTGGATCAAGGCCATAAACAAACATAATAACAAAAATCAACCAGGTAAGGACTTACCGAACTAAGCTCCCAAATCTTTAATGTTTTGTCATCAGATGCACTAACAAGCAATCTGCTGTCGCTTGACCATGCAACATCAGAGATGCCCAGTTTGTGACCAGAAATTGACTTTTCAAATTTTCCATCATAGGCCCCCCAAATTTTTACCAGCTTATCAGCAGCTAAATTAAGAAGGGAATTAAGTTGCAGTAGTTTAAAAGACTTTAGGTCAAATGTTGCACACGAAGTAAAATAGAAACACTTACATGAGCTGGCTAGCCATTCACCATTTGGACTGAATTTAACAGATGACACGGCTTTTGTATGTCCGGCAAGAGTAAACTTCAAACTGTAATTTGGTTTCTGGAAGGAAACAGTGAAGATCAAGTACATTTCCTTACCGTTTTTACTGTTAAAAATGGAGGAATAGAGGGAGTTCCATACTTACAATACTTGCACTAGATGATTTAGCAGACCCTGCAGCAGCTGGAGGTGCTGGTTGTTGCGGTGGATGATTTGTAGCTGGTCCTAGAGGAACCATGGCTGAAAACTTCACTCCTGAAATATAAGGATACATTGCAAGTTATTTAAATTATCAAGGGGCGTGGGGGGAACCAATCTAGAATAAATAACCCAAACACACACAATAGAAAATTGCACTGACTGTGATGTGTTCCTTCATTAGAAAGTGAGGGAGGAAAAAACAGTGGGAGGCAAGTTTTAGATTGGATATCAGTGTTCTTAAAGTTTTTCAGTAGAGTCAAGTGCAATTCAAACGAAACAAATGGAAATGACTAAACAGACATCACTAGGTGTAGGTAGAAAGTGGCTAAGTGGAAATAATGAAGAGTAATTGTAAACAAATCAACTGGATAACTCGAACGTGCAGTATGCCGGTTAGGTTATGTGTTCAGGAGATTGGACGACTTCTCTGTCACCGGTTCTTATCTCCAGGACACAATAAGCTTTGAGATGAGGTCATATTTCTAGAACACCTGAAGACTCACTGCTTAATTGGCGTTTTCCAAAGAGAAAGCGCTTTTAAGGGTGTGAATGAACTAAGGAGACAAGCGTGAAGCAACAACAACGCACCGCACACAGCGAAATCAAACAAACAAATGTCATTGTAAAAAGGCAGTCATACTAAAAAACTTACACCAAAATTTTATTTTCACCTGAATTTGCTTTTCTAACGCCCGGCTCGGTAGAATACTGGTTAAGAGGCTTCAAAAGTGACAAGTTTTGTGTTGATTTTTGAGTTTTCGGTGCTCATAGCCTTGTTGTAGCGTCATCTCCAACAAAACAGCGGCACAGCAGCGCGCTCTACAGCCGAGCGCGGTCGTGATACCCTCGATGCCCTTGCTTGGTAAACTTTTTAGGGCTTGGGGTAAAAACCCAAAGAAATATTACGGGTTGTTGTGATTTGGGGATTCAAATAAGGTGTTTCATCACCTCCTTTATGTCTGTATTGGTGGGAAGCTCTTTTGAAACTATGTTTAATCCATATTGCCCGCTCAACGTTACCCAGCATGCATCTGGGCATTTCAAGTGACTCACGCTTGCTCGGGTACTGACGCTAGTAGACGCTGTGTTCATTAAATGGCCAAAACTCTCTTTTCCTGTCATTTTGCTGTGCTTCAAAGCGGCCATCGGACGACATAATTTTACTAGAAGCGTAAAGACACACATTTGCTCAGAAATAGCGAAGAACTTGCACAATATTGCCCAAAACATTATCAGGGAGGGGTCACGTGACCCGCCTCGACCAATCAGAAGCCCAGAAATTTCAAAGGATTTTTCGCTTCCAACCACCTCAAACAGGCCGTTGGAGTAGCTGCGTAGCCATTGCTGATTGTGCGAGAGAAAGATCGTTGTTTTTTAAATCCGAAATCATCATGTGTAAATATAACCATCCGTCATTTCGGAAGCATTAGCTGAATGCAGCAAACTTCAGATCAGGGTACTGAAATACTATTTTCCCTGAAAGTAAAGGATGTATGATGTTATGTGAATTCTCCCCCCCGAGGACGACTCCCTAGTCAGAAGACGGCGACTGAAGCAGGGGAAAGCTTTACTTAGTGAATTCTGGTTCAAATCTTTTGAAGCCACGCCCACGATCAATGCTAATCGTGGTATGTGTTGTGTAGTGTAATTTAGTGATGAAATTCACCCCCAGACCTATAGTTCTGACGAAAACTCAAAGTGGAAAGGTTCAGTGCCCAAGATTCTGAGTTCTGTTCCTAAGCCTGCCCGCCATGTTGAAGACCGTAGAAGCTCAGTGGTAAAATTTGTCAATTTTACGTAGAAGAAGCTCTCAAATCGCATTTCGTTATGCGAAAATTGTGAGAAGTTTGGTTCGTGTGTCTTTTGAACTATAAATTGTTGTGTATTTTGATCTTGACGTTTGACCATCGTCAAACTCCGAGCTCAACGGGCTTTGAGCCTGGCTAGCTGGCTGGCTTTCTACTCGTCGAGTCTGTTTTTGGGCGTCGGGTGCAGGCAGGACTTGGTTGAATATACCCAGTTTAATTTCGTGAGTATTTTCTAATATCATATCACGGCGGTGGTGTTTACTATCATATGAATCCAGGGTATTGTTTATATCCCCGTTTTCCAATGGGTATTTTGTCCGTAGTAAAGCTTTCTCTCGTCCATTTGCCGTTTTGCTGTTTCCCCAACCTTTGTTTTGTTATTTGGTGAAATTCTGACCAGTTTAAGTGTATTTGTTGATGTAGTACAATTTTCGCGGGTAAACCGACTTCACTCGGAGGGAAAAGAAATCTTATCATATTGTGGTGCAATATCACTCTCTTTGGCTTTAAACAGTTTTCCCCGTTTCTGAGACCTCTATTGTTTGTTCCGAGCGTGAATATTGTGTCGTATAGCAGGTGTTCAGTATGTAATAGGAAGGGAAACTCCTCTTTAATTAAGTTACCAGTGCGAGGTTAGGGCTCCAGACTTCGACCCCCTATTTTCTTTGACCCTAATCTGGGTTTTCCCACCAATTTACCGCGTTTCATGACCCCTGCCAAAGATCAATTTTGAATGTAGTTATATGACTTTGCAAACTCGTTGCTCAGAGTTATGCAGCAGTCACTATCTATTATGAGTGGTCAAACATGGTGTAATGTTATAATTTATGAAATCTGACCCTTCTCTCACACCCTCATTTTTTTTTCCTATTTTTTTCTCCTCATGTTGAAAATTAATGTTGTCAAGCTTCTAGTACTGCCTATATCCAATAAAGGTGCCTATATGTTCTGATTTTGTGTTACAGTATCGTTTTATTTTGTTATCAGATCCAAAAACCTTGCTCCTAAGTCCCTTACTAGATGATCAAATTATACGATTACACATCTTGTTTGTTTACAAACAATCTCAGTTGGGTGTGTCCACTGATGACTAACCTCACTTGTGCATCCCTTGTGAATTGCACTCTTCCTCAGTTTGTACCATTTTTCATATCAATAAATTTAAATTGAACCTATATAATTTTAGTAATTTCTCCTGAAGTACAACTCAGGATTAGGTCACTTTCCCATTTCTACAATGAGGTATTTTTAGTATTGTGTATTTCCAAGTTGATGCTTACTTCTCTAAAAGGCTACAAGTCACTCAACAGTATAAGCTTTTATTTGTGGTACTTTTCTTCAATTCAAAGTTATTTCCCACATTTCAAAAATAAGATCCAATTGATTGCCACATAATTGTTACTTATTTAGTGCTACTTTCCCTGTGATGAGTGGTGTGTTTACCTAAACACTCATCAGACCCACTCTGTAAATCAACCTCCTGTTGAAACAGCCAGTTCATATGCATCTCAACATGTGTTCCAGACTGAGACTCGTCACCACACAGGATGTATGCCAGTGGTGTTGAGTACATTTTGTGTGAACTGGAACCGTGAGGTCTTCGCTGCATATTTTTCTTCTCACCCCAAGTTCTTAACAAGTAAGTGTCCTTTTGCCATTTTTTTGGTAGGTGTTCATGTATAAGATACATTGATCTGTCGAGTTACATTGTTATAACAAGCATGTAGAGTTTGCTATTGAATTTTTTTACTTTTTGACAGGGCCTAACAATGCAGGAGGTGGATGGAATGCCTCAAAACAACGCTGTGAGTATTGCTTCTTTTATCACGTGTTTCATGCTTATTAACTTAACCTTGTGTTTGTGTCCCCTGCATGCCATGCAATGGTGCTCATCATATGTAATAATTGCTTTGCATTGCATCATCTGGGAGGGAATCAGTATCGTTTCTCACCAAAATCATTTTTCAAATGTATTCTGGCAGTCATAATGTACCTTTTACTCAGCTTAATAATACTTTTGAAACTAATTTGTTTTCTGTTCACCTATCTTTAACTTAATGAACATTTGCTGTTCCAAACCTATACCTTAACTAAACTGATGGTACTTGGGTGTGGGTATATCACACCAATGCACTCTCAGCTTCTAGCAAATGCATGATGGTGTGGTCTCTTGGTTAATTTCATCCATTCTTTCTTTTCAGTCTGTCACTAAAGACAGGGAGATACGAATCTGCACAATGGGCAAGGTAAGTTGCATGTTACCCTGTTAAATGGTGTGTTTTCAGCCACAGGAGCTATGCTATTCTAATCTATAGTTGTTTTCTCAATGTTGCTGCTTTCTCATTTAATGTTTGCTTGAAAGCTATATGCTCTCTACTTGCCTTAGTTTTGTGAGGAAAATATCATTGATTGTTGTGTTATGATGAACATTCTCTTTATCATGGGATCTCAGTCTTTGTGATCAATGTGCATGTAACTCCTCCCAAGCCCCTTCACTCATCCCTAGAGTGCTGTAAGCTTAACTTCCAGTCTTGGTTTTCTTGTTATTTTACTGTACATATTTTTGTTTATTTTGTACTTTAACATATATTTGGCATGTCTTTATTTGGTTCATTATGAAGTGTTCCTCAGTTTTAAAACCCCCTCGCACCTCCCCAAAATTTAAATATCTTGGGAACTTTAGAGTCATTAATTTGACAGAAAGTGATGAAACTTCTACGTAAATGACCAAGTGTGGCATTTATTTTCTGTTTTAAATATATTTTACCTAGCTCTAGCTCATCAACTGTTTTATCGTTCTGGTCATCAGGATTCGGGTCCAAGGCCAGAGGTTAGGGAACCTCCACCACGTGAGGAGCCTGATATTGAACCTACCAACGGAGTTGTCCAACCTCCAGTTATTCCACCACCTCATCGCCCCGGCCGAGTCACTAACCAACTTCAGTTCTTACAGAAGATTGTTCTCAAAGCTCTGTTAAAACATCAATTTGCATGGCCTTTCCATCAGCCAGTTGATGCTAAAAAACTAAATTTACCTGTGAGTTTTATTGTAGTTTTATTTATGTTTGGAAATATGTTTCCTGCCCTATATGCATTGCTAAATTCTACTTGTTTCTCAACTTCAGGATTATCACAAAATAATCAAAAGACCTATGGACCTGGGCACTGTAAAGAAACGGCTGGAAAATAACTATTATTGGAGAGGAAAAGAATGCATTGAGGACTTCACCACAATGTTTTCCAACTGCTATATATACAACAAACCTGGGGAGGATGTTGTAGTCATGGCTCAGACCTTAGAGAAACTGTTTCTCACTAAAATGTCAGCCATGCCTAAGGATGAAGTTGAATTGGAAATCCCTACACCGAAGTCAGCAAAAGGAAAGAAAACTTCTGCCCCTCGACCTCCTGGAGCTGTTATGACACCGTCTGCACCTGCAGCTGCTACTCCCCCTCCAGCAGCAGCAATTGCAGCTGCAGCCGTTGTCCCACCCAACATGGCAACACCCAAGCGACCAACCCCAGCTCCCGTCACAAGTTCTGTACCTGCTGTTCTACCAGTCCCAAATTCCATGCATAAAAACACTGTTCCTGGTCCTCCAATCACAAGCACTGCTCCACCAAGGCCTCCTATTGCTACTGGTGCTCCATCCACCATTCCAGGAAGCACTGCTACAACCACAGTACCTACAGCTCTTCCTTCTGGCACGCACAATTCTCTACCTAAGCAAGTTGCCCCACCTCCAACTGGTGCCTACCATCCTCAACCTCCTGTGGGCAATCAAACAATGGCTGTTGTAAGCCCTCAGGTTTTACCTGGGAAGGGTGTGGCGGCACCACAGGTTATACCCCCTGCACAACCTGCCAAAGTCAAAAAGGGAGTTAAAAGAAAGGCTGATACCACCACCCCAACTACAACAGGATTGGATCCTATGTTTACACCAATTGATGCTAAAACTGCTAAAATTAACTCAAGAAGAGAGTCAGGAAGGCAAATTAAGAAGGTAAGGCAGTAGCCTTGTTGTCTACAAGAGAGAACCTTTGTTTAATCTTGTTTATTCATAGTGTGCGCTTCTTTCTCTTTAGCCTCAAAGAACATCAGAAGATGGACTTCCATTCCCTCAAGCATCTTTAACACCTATGCCACATGTTCCTGGCCAAGTATGTTATTCTTAAGGAATAATAAATTTTATCTATGGTTGGCTATGTTCTATCATTTTTTCTATCTTTTACAGGCACCTATGGGCAGCAAATTAAAAGAGAAAATGTCAGAGGGACTTAGGCAGTGCAACGACATTCTCAAGGAACTTTTCGCTAAAAAACATTCTGTTAGTATTTAACTGTTCCTGTGTAGCTGTTGACTATTCACCCACAAGTTTCTAATTCACTTTTCTCTCTTAGGGATATGCATGGCCATTCTACCAACCTGTTAATGCTGAATTGTTGGGCCTACATGATTACCATGATATTATCAAGAAACCTATGGACCTTGGCACTGTTAAGGTAGTTGAGTGACTCTTTAGTGCCAATTCTTTTATTCTAATGTCAACATTTCTAAAAATCAGTTTTATATTTTCAGCATAAAATGGACACGCGTGAATACCGGACACCAACTGAATTTGCCACAGATGTGAGATTAATCTTTAATAATTGTTATAAGTACAACCCTCCTGATCATGATGTTGTGGCAATGGCTAAGAAACTTCAAGATGTTTTTGAATCAAGGTACATAAAGTACATTAGATAAAAAATTGTTCTTAACAATTTCAATTTTGTGAATTTTGTATTTTACTAATAATTTTGGATTATTTTATCATCTAGATATGCTAGAATACCAGCTGAAGCTCGTGGTGCCATTACGCCATCAATGGACAAATCATCATCTAGTGAATCAGAAAGTGGATCTGAATCTTCAAGTGGAGAAGACTCAGATTCTGCTTCTGAGCGGGCTAGAAAAGTTTTGCTGCTGCAGGAACAGGTGAGAAATCTTTCTCTATATGTGGCTATCAGAAGTTCCCATTCCCTTGCATTTGCCAGTTCATGGCACTTCAAAATTAGTGAATTACCAACATACCCTAGTGGCAGAGGTGAGCAATTGTCTGGTGGGTCTTCAAGTCCCAGGAGCGCACGAAAAGCAAGTGAATCGGGACGCCTGCGAACCATCCCGAAACTGCTTGACCTAACTTTGCTCATCTTCGCCTTGTGGAATGAAGTATCTTCTCGGTTGCTTTCATCAACTTTTCTTTGTTTGGTTTCAGCTTCTTGCCATGCAGGAACAAATGAGGAAACTTGTTGAAGAAACTGTTCCCAAGAAGGTCAAAACTAAGAAGCAGCCCAAAGAAAAGAAGAAAGATAGGAAAATGCACATTCTTGGTGATGTTAAAGCAATGGCTATGGCGAGTTACGCCAATGACACAATGGCAGCTAGCATTGCCAATGTAGCAATGGGAGTAGATGTGAAAACGCCCATGGATATAAAACCTGTTATGAATAGATTACCTGGTGGCCCCCCAGTTGTACCTGCACCTAAACCTCCTAAAGCTAAAAGTGCCAGAGGAACTCCTAAAGTTGCTGGGGCTAATGCTCAAGGTGCTAAGAGACCCAAGCAAAATGCGCGTTCTGCCAATTCCAAGAAGAAAGTGGGTGCTGTACTCCCTGCAGCATTTGATTCAGAAGATGAGGACAATGCCAAGCCTATGTCATATGATGAAAAACGGCAGCTAAGTCTGGACATTAACAAACTTCCAGGTACGACCTACCAAATAGCACACTTACGTGCCAGTTTTGTTCAATTTTTTCATTACCTATCTTATTGTTAGGTGATAAACTGGGCCGAGTGGTACACATAATTCAATCTCGGGAACCTTCTCTACGGGACTCCAACCCGGATGAAATAGAAATAGACTTTGAGACTCTGAAGCCATCAACTCTCCGAGAACTCGAAAACTACGTTGCCTCATGCCTCAGGAAAAAGCCACGTAAGGCATACTGTAAGTTTAATAACACCAACCATTGCCCCACCAGTCTGAGTTCACAATAAGGTATTATATTAGTTTTATTACTACCAAATTAACTCACCATGTTAAAAGTCATAATATTGCTTCAAAGAGTTCCCTATCTGTTCATGAACTATTGAAAGTTGCATGGATAATTTGTCATTATTCAGATTTCTTTTTTGTAATTTTCAAACAAGCACAGAGAATTTGAAACTTTGAAATTGCTGCATGTGGCATATGTTGTGCTTAGAGCTAGGTAGGCACTAAAAACCTATGATTGACCTTGCCAATTTGGTAATCCTAGGTGTAGCCACTTTCACTGCTGGCTGTTCCTAGCTTGAACCATGACACTGCATACACACTAACTCCTGAAATGAGTGTGATTCCTCTTGAGTAAGATATCTGTTGGTGTGTGTGTATATATATATTTATTTTGCTTCATTGTAAGCATTCATCATTGTTAAACTAAATTTTCTGTGCCCTGTGTAATTGTTTTTTGTGAGAGACATACAGTATGTTCTATATCAGACTGGAGGCTGGTTGGTGTGGTGTCTGGGCTCAGTGCATGACAGCTCTCGTGGTCGCTACATCTTACATCTGTCATCGCAATAGGCTGTGGTATGGTTGGTGGAGATATACCAGTATTTAGTTTCTTGACTGACACCAAATCCTGGAATCAAATATGAAATCTCCTTCAAACAAAACACAGTTTGTTCTCAATATGCTCATACGATGTGTTCATGCTACCACGAGTTACATCATGGTAATTCATTTCATGAATGTGTCATTCTATGAAATGCCTTACCATGTTGCCCAGACACCATTGGTGGAGGAATGTAGATTTTGGTTTGTTAAGTAGCTCTTAATTTTGGTCAATTTTATCCTACCATCTTTTCTGATTCTGAATTCTTTGCCATTTTCCTGTCTTCTTATTGATGGATGTGAAATCTCAATCACCCCCACTTTCTCCTTGATATCTCACATTTCAAACTGCCTTTTTTTCTCTCATCTTAAAATCTTATAGTAATAAATCTAATCTAATAAGTGTTGTTCAGTGGGCTGTACGGCTTCCTTTGTTCTGTGTTCCAGATAAAAAGGTTTCTGGAAAATCAAAAGATGAGCAGATGGCAGAGAAGAAGCAGGAGTTAGAGAAGCGTTTACAAGATGTGTCAGGGGCGTTAGGTCATCAAAAAAAAGCAATGAAGAAAGGTACGGCAGATATTTCTCTGTTTCCTCAAATACTTTGGCCGTTTGTAACTCTATCTCCTAAATTTTTCTTTTCTTTGTATTTCAGAAGACAGTAAATCAGGAGATGTGGCAGGTCCATCGCAAGCTTCAACGAGTTCGAGCAGCTCTGATTCGGATAGCTCAAGCTCCAGCCTCTCGAGCAGTTCCTCTGATTCGAGCGACTCGGAAGCAGGTTAGCTTAGTCACAGTATTATGATCCCGTCATCACCCTACCACTCTCCCTAATATCCCTTGAAGGGTCTCATGTACAAGTTTAGGATGGTCTGGGTCAACCTTTTCATTGTTTTCTTCTTTTTGCCCTTCCCTCCAGTTTGTTAACATTACTACTGTAATGAAATTTTTAATTTTATTTTTAACTTTTTCGTTTATTTGTGTGAGTGATGCCGAGTACATGTGTGGGTTATTGTGCAATGTTTGCTTGAGATGAAATTGGAGGGATTGTGAGGATTGTGAACCAACACTAGGGTTGGCGGGCTTAAATTAAATGAACTCTTGCTTAAAATGAACTAGATCGTGACTGCAAATATCAATTACAAATCACGGGTTGAAAGCAACACTGACTAACTGTTCTCTCGTCATAGAATATGGCATTAGTCAGATTTTCATATCCTTCTATTCCCAAGCCTTAAACACCACCAGTGCTTCTCTCTCCTTTCTCCCTCCTTCATTTTTTTTTTCTTTTGCGGTTGTGAATGGTAAGCTATGTGAAAGAGGTTAAGTGGTTTATCAAACCTCTATTATTAGTGGCCAAGAGTGCAGAATGTGTGATTTGGGGTCAGCCAGTCATATCATTTCTCCTTCCATATTGGAATTGTGATGAAACATTTTTTTTCTCTCCCAAGACTTTTTTTTCCCCCTATTTTTACTTGATGTCTGTGTCCTGGTGTTTCATTTGTAGAGCAATACAAGGCTTGCAGGCATAGTGTTGTTTTGAGGTGATTGAAAAATGCTGGTCAGTCAGGTGAAGAGGGAACTTCAATCCACAGCAATAGAACGTTGAAGAACAAGTGAGCGAGCAAGGTTTATACTTGCAAAGTTAGCACTGCACAACCTAAATGCTGCAGACAATGTGAATGGTGGCTGGATTGTTTGGGTGTTTGGCAAGCCATTGTTACTGCATTCATACATACAGTAGTACAAAGAAATAAAAAAATCTTTACTGATAGTTGCAAAACTCAATTGCCATACAAATAATATAATAATTTGGTTTGCTACACACCCTTAATGTTGCAATACATTCAGGCTGTTGAACAAATATGCAGGGGTGAGTGAGAGTGATAATATATCAAAATGTTGATAGACTTGCTGGCCTCCAAGCACATTGTTTGCACTCCCTGGCGTGGCGTTGCCATGTTAGTTTGTATGTGTACATATTTTAAAGATGGACATAATATCTTTTTATCAAAGATTACTTTTATTATTATTTGTTGAAAGTTTTCTATGTTTATAATTTGGTCTCTCTCCATTGAAGGAGTTCAACCTCCCTTATCATTATCTTGTCAAACTTATTGTATACTTTAATGTAGAGACTTGATCTCTTTGGGGAAGTTTGTTGTTTTTTCTTGTTTGTTTTTGTTTTTTTTTTGTTTTTTTCCTCCCTCCATTGCCCAGGGGTCAGATAGTATTGGATTGTGCTCTACTTTCTCAAAGTATTTGTCTGCATTTGGCTACTTTTGAAATTTACATATATTTGACTCATTGCACAGGAGTGCTCTGGTTTGTTGTGGATTATAAGGAATGGCAGCGTTTAAACTGCTAGTGTTAATTTGATACTGCTATTTCATTTCTTGCTTTGATTTAGAGGCACATCAGCCTCTTTGATATTGGATCATTCTTTCACTATAGTAGGTCTTTTTAATTCGTCACATAATTTTGATAATTTCCTTTCAAATTGGAAGGAGCCTGTAAACTATCTAGCTGTCAATATTGCAGTTGACATAGAAATTTTCTATCTATTTAATCTTGCTCTCATAAAATATTAGTTGTGGACTGAAAGATGCATAACTGCCAGAGTGGACCAAACCGGCAGACTCTATGGGTTTAAATTTCATGGTGTCATGCCTGTCTTGTTTTGACTACACTGAATCATTTTGGCCAATCAATTTTTATTGTACCTTGGACTAGTCTAAAATGTTAAGGGGCGATTCATTTGAGGTTTGCTATTAATCTCAGTATGTTCATGCAATATTGTCTAAGTCCATTGCTCGCTCACTTGTATATTAATTTTAATTACTAAAATTGTGTGCAAAAGTTTACTAGCACAAACTGACTGGAAATCTCTGATAAGTTGTGATAAAGATTTTAACACTGCCGTTAGGCATGTTGTTCTGCTGCTCCTGCTTCCAGTTGGGTCATTGGATCTCTCTCAGGCTTTCTCTGTGTCCTTTTTCAGAGAAATACCCCTGATTCAGAATGATTCCCTTCCTTGATATGGCATCCCAGCATATTTCAACATGCCTCTTTGTACATAAAAGTTATTTTATAGTTGATTGTATGTAAAACTTTATACTGAAAGCATTAAGAACTTGAGGAACTTGTGCTAGTGTAAATCCTTTTCATTGAGTGTAGCTGTTAGTTCATTCTTTATCTGTGTACATTTTTTATCTAAAGAATCAGGTTTAAACCCAGAAAGAAACTTTGTTGTTTGTATACAGTGATAATGATAAATTTAAACGAAATAAAAAATATAGAATGATTGTACTGTACATGTTTTCTTTGAGTTTGCTGGCTCCTGACTGACCAAATCACCAAATTCTGCACTTTTGGGCGTGTGTGTGTGTGTGTGTCTGTGTGTGATTGAAATAGCCTTTGTGAAGATTGTAAAAAATGTATAACGGCCCATAATATAAACCATTTACCCACTGCCCCCACTTTCTTTTATAAAAGTATATAGTTTTTTCTTCTTTTTTCTTTAGCTCTTATGTACTTTTTTGTTTTGTCTAGTGTTTCTCCTTGCATCATTTTGATTGCTGAATTTGTTTTTGTACTGTCTCTCTTCTTAAAATATCAATGTCCAAAGCTTTCAAAGGGATATCACATTTTCCTTTTTACAGTCTACTTAAGTGATGCATGGATTTGTGGTTTTAGTAATGATGCTGGGTGGCGGGCTAATATTTCTTTCCATCAATGACCTCTAATTTCCTTCAGTGTAGTGTAAGTTTTTATAGCAAAATTCCCATGTAAAACCTTCAATTTTATTTTTTTTCAAATCCTATTGAGAACAAACTAGAATAGTACCTGTCTGGCTTCATTGGCTATTAGTAAACATTTCACTGTTGTCAATCATAGATAATGAGAAGCCAATTTAGTGGCTGGTTGCTTTGACACAAGCTTTTAAATGATGTATCTAAAACAGCACTTTTTGGTTCTTTTGGTCCTAATTGTTTTGTTACTATTAAGGTGTTTTTTTTTTTTTTAAATCTGGGTAGATTACAAATTTTCTTCATGAAAGAGCACGCACACATTCTATACACATGCTATGTATTTCCCTGGCTATTTACCTAGAACAAGATATTCTTCATATATTTGCAGTCAAGGTGACAACTTGGTCAAGTGTTCCACATATTTGAACCTCTGTATCTGATCCACGTTGTCAAGATGTAGTGATGACAACTGAACACAGTTTCACATCAGGCTATCTCTCATGTCATACAAAAATTTTGAACACTGACCTTCAATAAGGGTTTAGGAACATAATCTTAAAGAAATGGGTAAAAAGGGAATACAATGATAAGGTTGTTTGTAATTATGCTGTGCATCATTCAAGAGTCTCCACTTTTATCCCTCAAAGAAAGACAGGTAAAAAGATAGAGAACTATTATTAATGTTGCAGGAGAAAGAAAACGGAAAAAGAAGAAAAGCCGTTCTGGAGGAAATGATGAGGTTTGTAGACGTTTTTAAAATTATCTTTTTATATTTGATTTGCATTTATCTTGAGATTTTTTCCAGTATGTTGATTTAGTCCAAAATAGTACATAAATTCCATTGCATAAAATTTCAGCCGAACACTGCTTCTATCCCTCCATCATCTGGTCCAGTCCCCACCTTAACAATGACTACATCTGGAACAATTGTCAACAAAACCCAGCCTACTGTCTCCACACCTTCAGGTATGGTTTTGCAGGAAATGAATTAGCCTATGGGTATTTATGGATCATGGATTCAAATTTATTGATGTGTGGTTCACAGCTGTTCCTCCCTCCCCTGCAACTCCCTCTAACGTGGCCTCTGCAGCTACAAATATGGTGCCATCTCAACCCCCTGCCTCCACACCCCAGCAACAACAACAAATGGTGCAAAACCAGCCTGTACAGCAGCTCATGCAACCTCAGCAACCCCAGCAACCTCAACACAATATGCTCAATTCATCTCAAGCCCCTCAACAACCTCATGGAATGAATAAAGGTAAGATTTGATCATCTATTGATGGGTCTGGAGTTTTGCATACGATTTGACCTTCATGTATTGATGGGTCCTAAGTGATGCATAATTACTGTAGTTTGCATGTTGACAACAGCAGTTGAATCACTTGTGATTGGACCCTGGAACTTCAATCCCATTGTTTTTGCTTGTGATGTTTGTTGTGGGTGTTATGGGTGTCTGACACATAATAATAGTATTGGTTGATTTTGTGTCCGTCACAATTGATTCACAGTGTCAATGTCATCTTACATGTTTGTATGTGTGTTCTATGCTCACATGAATGTTTGCTAACATTCTATCACTGATAAACCATCAGTGTAGGTCTCTGCTTGCCTGCTGTATAAGGCTGGAAAGGCTTAAATCCAAAAATCCACTAAAATCAGGAAAGGTTTGCTCAATAGTTTGGTGCCACAAAGAATATGTTGTTGCCCCTTGCTTTATCCAAATCAATCATCCTTGGGGTCTCTTCCAAACTGTACATTAAGGTATTCATTTGAGAAATTTAAGAAAATACCAAATCCGTGCATAAAATGTAGGTTGCGCCTGTGACGAGCTGTATGTGTAGGTCTGCATAGCTCTGCGTAGGTTCTGATGTGTGAGGTTGTCTGACTCAGGCCTGCCAGCAAGCCACGCAGCAAGCCACGGGCTCAGTCAGCCTCCTCAAGCTGCTAGGCCCGGCCGGCACCCCGGCGCGGCTGTACCCCCTCCGGCCTCCGTGCCTCAGGCGCCGCCTGTGCCCGCGGCGGCCCCCCAGGCGCCCGCTCAGGCGCCCCCTCAGGCCAGGCGCTCTTCTCAGCGCCCCTCCGCAGGCGCAAGTGGCGTCCCGGCCGCTGGGCCCGCCGGGCCGGCGCCCAGCCTAGGTCCTGCCCCTCAGGGCGCACAGGCTCACCCCGCCAACATCTTTCATCCCACCGTAGATGCTGGTACGTGGCGCATTTTGGCCACCGGTGTCCAGTAGTGAATCTTGCAATGGGGGCTGTCTGTGAGCTGCTGGAATGTAAAGCCTTGACGAAAAGAAAGTGATATTTTTCGATTTGGGGGGAGATTTTGAAATATAGAAAAAAGAGAAATTGTACTCATATATAAACGTATAAAAAATTATTTTGACTTTTTTTTTTTGTATTGAAACTATTAAAAAAAATATTACTAATATCAAGGACTTACAACTTCAGTGGGCCATAAAATTAATATTGTCTCTTCCATATCTCAATCACACTGTCAATTCCTGTCTGACAATAACGCTTTTATTCTGGATGAAAAGTGACGAGCCTTTCTGTTCCCAATTTCTCATGGTCATTTATGCCAATTTTCATTGTCTGGTATCATCTCATACCTAAAACCTACTGTCTACAGTCTTCTTCAAACAGCAACTATTTTCTGGTTGTGGACGTAAAACATTTCGAGGACTTGCATGCAATCTTTGTGGAGGACACGCTTTCATTTCCCAATGTGTGTTGAATAATGTGTGTGAAGTGGGACTGTAGTTTTAGCCTCTCTGACTCTGTCTCAATTCTCTTGAGTATGCTATTTAGCAGCCATGTTTGAAAAGGGTCAAGTTGTATGAATGCGATGGTGTGGTTCTCTGTTCAGATCTAATTATTTTATTTTCCCTTTTGATTTTTAGTTTAATTTACACTTTGGTGTAAATACTGAGTTTTCAAGTTGAGGTTTTGTAGGGTGAGGGAAGAGATCCTATATAATGCAGACCAAACAGGCAAAAATTCCCATTATTAGGTTTACAAACTATAACATCATATACAAGCCTCTAGAAGAATTATTCTGGATCAATATTGCTTTCTTTTATTTTTCATCTTGGTCAGAAAGTGTAGGTCTAGAAAGAGCTCATGTTGTGTAATGCTCTGCATGATTCATGGGTACTTAATACCCTACAGTATATGCATCATTAAAAACTTAACTCAACTATATTTTGCTTTTGTCTCTTTTTTTTAGGATTTCATATTTTCTAATCTTCAATTGGTTGACGGTATTTGAAATTTTGTCTTTGGTCAAGGTCTATTCCAGAACAGTGATTGGTATTTAAAAAACGAACAGTTGTGGTGAAAGATTTGTGCTTACTTTGAATTAGCCCTTTTCAATTCGGCTTTTCAGGAAAGCTAAGATGTATTTGCAGATTTCTGATCATTGCTGTTTTTCAGTTATGGTTCTGAGAACAATTCATCTCAGAGATCTCAGAGTATAAATTGATTAAGATGCTTGTCACTTCAGAAATTTTTAAACATGTTGGATATTGTTTTCTTTTGTTTTCCTTACTGGACTCAAAAGATAGGTATGTATTCCTTAACAATCTTTTGTGTGATGGTTTCCCTTGTTTAGCTTGACACAAGGGACCTAAATGTCGCGATTTGTCACAACAGAAGTAGTTAAATGTTCATACGTCATTTGTAAGCACTTTTCTGTTTTGTTAGTGGTTTCCTAATGCAAGGAATATTTGTTATGATTTACATTACTTAAAGGAGCTCTGAATTGGGTCGTCCAGAGCGCACTCGTTGATTTGACCTGAGCAATGGTTTTTAAAATTTTAAATGCACACTGGCTTTAATCTGTAAGTGGCAGTCCGTTTTGCAAAGACTTATGTAACTTTTCAATCAATTTAGCAAATGTTTGTTTTGGAACTTCAAGAGTAAGTAAATCATAGCAGTCCATGCCTTGGATTACACTTATTATTTTTCTTTTGTTCTTTTTTGTTTTATTTTACTAAAAACAGTTTTTAATTATGATTTCTGGCCCTCTAGTCAGTATGGTTCAGATGTTCAAGTTCAATTTGTGCATAATATCATTTATTATCTATTTGTGCTTATTGCCAAACAATCACCCAAGACTTTCTGCTACTTTCATTAGAAATTTCAAAGCTAAGTGAGGCATATTTATTTTGAGCACAAAATTCGCATTTGTGCACTTGAAGCTTTGGAAGCATGGAGGATATACACTAATGCCGAGACGCGTCTGACTAGAGCATCTAAAAAACCACGGCAGCAATTTACTAGGGGAATGTCAAATTATATCAGAAAATCTAATCCGTCTGTATCAGTCATACTTTTTCAACCTGGAGTAAAACAACATTCATACCTAGTGTTACTCTGAACAACAGACAAGTGCCAGTGTTTCTTGTGTAGTCCGTTAAATATGTTAAATGCACGGCTGTGTTGTCATTTGGTGTGCAAATCAGATGAATTTTGGCAAGCTTCTGTTAATTTGAATGCTAATTGCTTGAGATAGAGCTGGTGCCATCTTTGGTCAAGAAGTTTTGCTTGTTTGAAGTTACTCAGAACTACACCAATAACAGTCTGATTGGAAACAATTAAATGTAAACACTTGAGGCTAACTGTTGTTTGATAAAGTTATAGTTTACACAGTGAAAAGGAGAAATAACACTGGCTGAATCATAAATGTGGGCAGTGGAAGTGGGACAAGAATCTTTGTTTGCAGTTTAGCTTTACACTTTTGGTTGTCTTCTTTTTTTTCTTTTTTTTAAATACTATATTGATAGTGGTAGGAATAGACTTTTGGTCAGCAAATTGTTACTTTATTGCATGCCTCAATGCAGTATTTCCTCAGTTGAGCAATACATACAATTGTTCTGCTTGCTTGCCAGTTAAAGTTAAATGTTATTCTGAGTCTAGTATGATCATACACGCGGCCATAAAAATGGATTTTCCTTGCAAAATTAAAAATTTCTTCTACATCTAGGATTGCATTCATCTTAAGTTTTATGTTAGTTCAGTCTAGTCCAGTTTGAAACTTTTCTATGTATGTTTTGCTCAAGTGCAAATATTGTCATTTGGGTATTTGATTTTCACTGTTTGAGTGTGCTCCTGGGAGTGACTGAAAAGAGAATTTGTTGCCCTTTGCTTCTTAACCCTTTCAGACATGGTGTGCTGTAGCATGACTACCAAACCAATGCTTTCTTTCCTCTCTTCTACCTCTTCTCGCTCTTCTGTCATATTTCTTTCGGGTCATGGTGTGTGAAGTCCTGTACAGATTGTTGTGTAACCTAGTTTGCTTGAGCTAGTCTATGTTCTAGGATGTAGCTCCAAAAGGGCTCAAAGTTTTTTTTTCTTAGCTTGCCCCTTAAATGCTTTTCAATGTAATTTAATGTTTATTTTGCTCCCCATTGAAAAAAAAGAGTCATTTTTGAATTAACAAGTCCCAAATTCTAAAGGTCACTCTCCTGTCAAACGTAACATTTCTGTTCTCTAATTTTCTGTGTGCTCTTCTCAGACTGGTTCACTTACATCAGCCCGCCAGGGTCGAGTGCCAGTGTTTGGGAGGGTACTGCCATGCACTCTCCCGTGCAGTTGTCTTGTGTGTGGTCGCAGCGGTTGACGTTTGGGTTTATGTTGTACAGGAGCCTTGCTGGGGCTGAGCAACGAGCCCTTAAAGAGCGATCCTGAGGGACCGCACGCGACAGCAGCGGCGCTGTCGCAGCCTCACCTGGGGCACCCCAACCAGCACCTCCCCCACCACCATCCCCTCGGACACCTACCCCCCATGGCTCCCCTGGGACCAATGGGCCCCAGCCCCATGGGTCACATGGGCCCAAGTCCCATGTCGACGGGCACACCCACCATGATGGGCCCCGGCCTGACGACCAGCCTGGCCACCAGCATGGCGAGCATGGCGGGCCTGGCGAGCAGCATGCCCGGCCCCACCCCGACGCCACCCCCAACCCCCGCGCTCCAGGCGGGACCGGCCCTTGGAGTACCCCTTGGCCAGGGCTCTCACCAGGGTTCCCACCAGGGCTCCCACCAGGGCTCCCACCAGGGCTCTCACCAGGGCTCCCACCAGTCCTCCCACCAGGGCTCCCACCAGGGCTCCCACCAGGGCTCTCACCAGGGCTCTCACCAGGTATCCCACCAGGGCTCCCACCAGGGTTCCCACCAGGGTTCGCACCAGGGTTCGCACCAGGGTTCGCACCAGGGTTCCCTCCAGAGCTCCCAACAGGGCTCCCACCAGGGATCTCACCAGGGCTCCCACCAGAGCTCTCACCAGGGCTCCCACCAAGGATCCCACCCCGCACTCCCCCCTCCCATGTCCATGGGCCACAGCCACAGCAATGGCTACTCCCCCATGCCCCCCTCCAACATGAAGATGGAGACTGGCCTCCCTCTTACGAGCAACGGCAACAACTCTTCGGGAGGGCCCGGCCCGGCCCCCATGCCAACCGGAATGCCGTCGGTCTTCGACCCTCCCAGTCCGGACATCAAGCGAGAGGACATGTCTCATGGAGCCCCTCACAAAAATATTAACGACAGTAAGCATTTTGTAGCTTCTTTTCCTTACTCCCGTGATTGTGGTCTTTCGGAACTGTATCCTTGTTTAAACCGTTTTTGGAGTAGATTGTGTTTAGTTTTATGTAAATTCTTGTTCTGTGTGTGTACCTTTGTGGTATGTGTTTCACCTGACCTATTATTTTCAACACAACTATTAACCGTCTACTAACCAAATGCTTTAAGATGTAGCTTTTTTCGTGTCTGAAAAGTAGATGATTTTTACATGCATATGTTAATTTTTTTTCCACATTATAGTTCACTTTCTTGTTTGTTCAGAAAATCAAAGAGCTACTTATTGATATTGTTCCTCCATTGACACAATTATGGCCATTATCAAGCCTGCTAAAATGCATTATACTGCTTTATCTAAATTAATCAATTGTTCAACTGTTTCAGATTCCTTGAATCACAACTCATTACCTTACATGGAACGAACAATTACACCACCTGATATGAACAACTCTAAACCTCCAGCAGTAGCCAACTTTGCTTCAGCCTTCAAAAGTAAAGACCTTAAAAATGCCAGTTCTTGGTCTTCTCTAGCACAATCATCATCTCCTCAAAATGCTATGTTGGCTGCAAACCGATCTGCCGACGTATTTCAGGCTTTCAAGAAACAGGCAAAACAAAATTCGGACAGGGTACGATTTTACACTCAAATTACCATACTAAAAACTTTATATTGTAGGAGAAAAAATGTCAATTTTGACTCTTGGTTTTCAGCAAAGGGCCATCCAAGAGCAGCAAGAGATCCGTAGACAACAAAAAGAGCTGGCTGAGAAGGAACGTATTCGTCAGGAAAATGAACGCAGACGAGGGAAGGAAGAGGAGGAGGCTCTTGAGAAAGCTAGAAAAAGCACTGCGGAGCATATTCTCAGTCAGTCAACAGCTGTTGCCAGTGCTGCACCATCCATTAATAATCCACTTCAGTCTCATACTCCGCCTACCAGAGTTGAGGAGGTGAAAATGGTGAATGACTCCTCAATGAGCCTGTCCCCTGGCAATTCCTACAACATGGATAATGCTGTAGCAGAAAGAGAGAGACAACGGAAAAGGGAGCAGGAGAGGAGAAGGAGGGAAGCGGTGAGTAAAATGGAACTATACTTGATACTAGTTTGAATATCAAAGCCTTCAAGAAGCTAATTTTTTTGTTTATGTCTCTCAGATGGCTGGGCAGATCGATATGAACAAGCAGAGTGAACTGATGGCTGCTTTTGAAGAATCCCTTTAATAAAGACTGCAAATAGGAAAAAAAATGAATGAAAAAGGTGGAGTGTGAAGTGATGTGATTTCATGAATGTGATGTGATGTTGTGGTGATATGTAACTCTTGATCACAAACACAGTTTTTATTATTATCTAATGCATTGGAGTAATCAACAATTCCACTCATAGATATACCTCATATCTATGCGACAGTGAAGTGAAGTGTTGTTTACAGTGGTATCAAGAGTCTTTTTTTTTTTTTCCCTAGATATTAGACTGTGTGCACTAGTACAATGAAAATCTTGTTATTCTAGGATTTAATCACAAAAGTAAACTTAATGTGAAAAGTTTATAAGAACTGACATTACTGGATGGATCTAGTTACTCCCAATTGGGAATTGTTTGTATCATTGTAATCTATATTTTGTAAATAGTCACCATTTGAATTGTAAGTTATTGTAGTAAATCAATCAATCCTTCCTGCTGCTCTCCATCAATTTGTGTACAGCCTAATCCTCACTGTTAATAAAAAGCAGTAATAATTCTTTTTGTCAAAGGCTCTAAATTGAGGTTCATCCCCTTTTATATAATAAAAATGAAAAATTTTAAAAATATTTTTATTGTTTATGTTAGGGTATTATGTAGTAGCTCACATTTCATTGGATAAGCAATATTTGATAGCATGTGACGTTAACTGTAAGCGTGGACATATTCTCATTTAAGCTAATCAGATAGACATGTTAGCTTAAATGGGGATTTGCATCACCATAATGCAGTCTTGTTCTCTCTGACGCAAGGAAATAATGAAATATTTAAACAAGATCATGTACACATTTACATTAAATGTTTTTATTTCCATTTCTAGTTACATTCATTTGCATGTAATAATAAACATATGTTTATAACTAGGTATGTTCTATAATATTAGAAAATGTGTCTGATAAGTGTTGTTTGGTGAGTATTTCATGTTAGTTATTGAGATTTTGAGTGAAGGTAAAAATATACATCTCTATGAAAAAATAACAATTTTTAAATAAAAAAACGTAGTGACAAAATCAATTAAAAATGTTAAATATATGCTACAAGTATATGTTACTCAGCATCTATTTACCTGAGCTTAATCCAGGAAATGTAAAATAATTGTTTTTACAAAATTCTGTTAAAGTGCACATTTTCACTTTAAAACATTTAAATCAAGTACTTTGTGCAGTGTTCTTATGGTTACATTAATCATTTGACGAGGCTCTGCGATATTTTACTCATCAACTTTCCATTGCCTCTTTACCTCTCATGCTTTAGCGCAGGACTGACTTTTTGTAAAGAGAGAGAGAGGCGGGCTTCCTTGCTGCATTGGAGATGACAGGCTCGCCCCATGGTGTACCTATGGTTTTGAGTGACATGCTGAAGTATTGGTACCAATTTGTATGATGTGTTTCTTGAGTCATTTATGTTAAGAAAGCTTTGGTTTCTGCTTTATATCCTGTCCTATAAATTATCTGAAATTAAGTACAAGGTAGAAGTGTTGGATATTGAAGTTGAATCTTAGTTATTATGATGTTGGGTTGACTCAAAGATTGCACACTTTTATGTTCTCAATCAAAATTAATTTAGTTGTTAGATGAGATGTGTAGGCTGCCTCAAATTGAGAAATCAACCACATACAATGCAAGGCAGGTCTAGGATCTCTTTATTACTATTTGGAACCGCATTGCTATTTATTTGGTTGATACAGTTGACGGGAGATTGTGGCTTTGATCATACTTGTTGGTTTCGCTGTCACAGCAACTGTGTATTTCTTGTTTTATTGTTTGTATAGAAAACATTGTACAATTTTTCTTTGTTTTATAGAAAGAAATGGTAAATCTAGTTTTGTATTGTACTTGTTTGTTTTTGTATGAACGTTTTATGTTCGCGCATCATGTGCTTATTGGGCAGACTACTGCGTGCTGGAGTAAATCACTTGGAATAATTATTATGTGCTGCTTGTTATCTTTTCATTTCAGTTTGAGGTACATTTTTTTTAAAAAAAGAAAAAGAAATTGCTCTTTCTGAAGAAAAAAGTAAGCCCCAATACCATTCTTAAAGAACCATTTATTAAACAATTTACTTGATAAACCTGACTTATTAAGTATTTTCTCATCCTTGATCCTTTTGAGAGCTGGTAATCCACAGCATCACATATTCTAACCCTGTCAGACTAGATTAGTTGGCAGAGGCACTTGAAAAGAGGTCATTTACTTTTAAAAGTTCGTGACAAATTCTTCTCCTTCTAACTCATTTCACTTAATTTTATTCTCCTCTTTCCTTTTCAAATATTTCAGAGTGGAACTTGAGTATTTTTTTGAGACGGCTCCGATTGTCCGAAGCTCATTTGTCCGAACCTAATTTATCTATTTTAGTAAATAAAATGAGTAAAGTAGTTAATTTCATTATGTTATTTCATTTAGTGGCAGTTGTTGAAATAAGAGCTAAATCAGGTACAGACACCATCAGGAGGGCAAACTAGGTGCCTAACTGCAGTTTCGGGCCTGGAAAAGGGTAAATGAAATGACTTACTCTATTTCACTGACATAAACAAATTAACTTATTTTTGAACAAGCCTTGGTTCGTGGATCGGCTACGGCTCTCGGATCTGGGGCTGTCCAAATACGAAAAGGTTTGGCCGACCGACCGTCAACCTCGGAACGACCAGGACGACTGAAATATCGTGTTCGGGGATTTTCTCGCACGCTGAGCCCAAATCTGGTAGTGCCGATGTCTTCCGGGCCCCCGGGTACGTCATTAGGGACCTCCCGAGCACGCCGATGACACTCCCACGACAAATACGATTCGGCTCCAAACGTCGTGTACACACGGGCTGGTGCATATTTCTTAAAAGTCGCCAAATATAATTACTATTAATAGCAAATCGCCCATAATAGTTTATTATCCTGATCATTTCATTATTGTCACATGGCACTTCCCTGGCGTTGCCGCCTGGAGCCACACAACGATGCGCGGGACGGGAAGCATCCCCACAGGATCACATTCTGGACAAGCGAGGCGGGATTGCCTACCCCAGGAAAGAATCACATCCCGTGACCACGATATGTCGGTGAGTA